TCTCTTTTTGTGCAACCAGATTGTTTTTGTTCGTTTTAGCTCTGATATTTCTGCTTTAAACTTGGAAGGAAGGAAAATAAAGATATGCACTAGATGAAGTGGGGGGTGCAGGTGCATGCAGATATTTTTAAAAACATAGAGCGAAGTCAAACTGTGCCTGATAACTGTCCGCTAGCATTCATCTCGTCATATTTAAGCTGATACCCGGGGCGTTATCAAAGAGAAGCACCCGGCACCAAAGACTCCTGAGCTCTCTGAGAGAACTCTGATGGTAGAAATTCAACTTCCAGGGACAGTTTTAACCTGTTTTGTGTCCCATAAAGCACTGAAATTACACCTGATTTTAGGAAATGCCCAAAAATAAGTCCCGAAGCATTTCATGATGACTGCAGAGTGGCGACTTTAATTTGGAATTGATTTGAAGAGCAAATTAGCAAATCACAGAAAGGGCGGGTTGTTCAGGCTGCTTTAACCTTCCCATACCTGAAATGCTACTGTAAGCTGCTTTGCAACCCACCTCCTCCCACTTGTTTTTCTCTTTCTGACTTAATCGGTGTAATGCAAATGTGTAAACAAACAAACAACCTGCCGTTCTTCTGAATGTCCTGTTCTGTGTCTGTGTGGAACAGAGCCATGCTGATAAATATAGCAACTGACCCTGACTGAACAAGGTTCATTTACATTTCCTGATTCAAGCCTATAAAAGGTGAGATTAGAAAATACATTTAACACCTTGTTTTGGTTAAAAAACAAAGTGGGTCGATTGGCAGCGACTTCCAAAAACACACATGAATGTTTCTGTACATAATCACCTTGATTTCCAATCACTCTCTTATCTGCTTAATTATAAAATCCATTCGTGCATTTAACTGTGACCTCACTCTTCACCCTTTGTGAGTGCAGCGACGCTGTAGTACCGCCGTCAGGGCAGGAGTGCAGCTAATAAATATATGCAGACCTATGAGTCACTTTAGCAAACGAAGACAGTGAGTGCTTCTCACTCATGACTCTTCTTTCCTGATTCCATCTGCATATTCACAAACAGCTCACCTACGTCCTCATCGCAGACTTCATAATGCCCGCCTTCAGGTCTGAATAATGAAGCTGGTGTGGAAGAGCCTCAAAGCTGTATTCCTGCTAATGACCAGCAGGGGCAACGCCCTCTACACTTTGATTGCACCTGTGAGGAAAATGACCCTACTTCTCAATTGATCTTAAACCAGTGCAGACAGTTTCCTGATGAGCTCACAACTTTGGCTGTCATAAGAAAGCGACAACAGCACAAACACATTTAGCCAGCATTAAAGGATGTGAGGAGAAGCTCAAGCGTTCGTTTGGTTTCTGCAAATCTGTTTTAAACTTGGCATTTTTCAAAGCTTCCAGCAGCTCAGATATTTATTTTTATTTGCAAAACCAAAATCTGGCAGAACAAAAATCCACAGCAGTCTTTTCTTTGCCTCATGTATGAAACATGTTATTTGGACTCTGACTTCTGTGCAACCTGCGACTGACATTACAAACACACTGAGAATGCAGCTCAGTGATGATTACATTTCTGAATTTCTGCTGGTTTTCTACCATTTTCACACATTTTCACATGTAGTTGATCAAATTCAAACCAATATGAGCTCTAAGACTGAAGTTTTGAAAAAATACTCTCATGCGTGCCCCCCACCTCCCATCTGAATGAGCTTTTTGAAGTGTAATCCTCATTCTTTCTGTGTCCTCCTCACCTGACTGCATCCATCCACATAACTGAACTAAAGACCCTTTCAAGCCCTTTTCTTCCAGCTCTGTGCATCCAACCTGTGTGAAGTGACCGAGCACCAACAATCGTTCCTTCTGTGATGTTGTTTCTCCCCACTAACAAGGACCTGCAGGGTCCACAGGCCTAATCTGTTTCTCCCCCAAAGAGAACCAGGTTCAGACTTGTTTTTTTCCAACCTTGTTAAAACCTTAAGCCTTGTCTTTTTATTTCTGGCTGCCCAGAGGCCAGCGGGGAAACATCAATGTGTCATTCAAAGTATTCATGCAGAGTCACTCCTCGTCTTCCCCGCTAAGCTGAAAATCCGCCTCTTCAAGAATCACCTCACGTCACCCGGCGACTCGGCTGCATCCCACCGCCTCGCCCACATCTCCTCCCCTCCTTCACTCCTCTCTACTTCATCCACACATGAATAGGAAAGCTTCAGCCTGTTTCCAAAGCAACACGATGACAATGAAGTGACACTTTGACCTTTGCAATCCTCACTTCTACTTGCATGACGCTAAAGCATCTCAGCCTGAAACTTTATCTCCATGTTGGCGTTTCTACTGTTTCTGAATCCAGTGCAACAGGAAAGAGTCTGAAAACCTGGAACGACTTTGACATTTTTGCACTTCTGCTTCTTCTGTCTTTTTTTAAGGTTTTATTTTAAATTAATGTCTCTTGTTAATGTCGATGAGGCTAAACAGGATTCAGAACCTGTGGAAAGGAGTGCTGGGGATGCTGCAGCGCTCCGTGGATGATTGCAGAAGAACTTGAGAGGAAGTTTGATTTGTCATTTAATTTTCATGTTTTATTTTATTGCAGTAAGTAAGTGATCAAACTATCATGAACTTATATATCCCACAGAGCGTCTCCAATATTCCAAAACCTGCTTTTGGCTGAGGGAAAAGTTCAGGACTTCTGGAGTGTGATGTAAAAGTAGCAGATGCTGAAAATGTGCCCGAGAAAGGTGTTTCTGACTTTTACAGTTACTGGAACATATTTTTCAGCGCTATGTCAGCCTTTTGTGTGTCTTTGGTTGTGCTCGCAGCCAACATGTTTGCAGCTGTTTAATTAACACTCTCGCATTTCTTTGGGAAAGTGAGAAAATTACTGTTGAAGGGGAAGCTTTTTAATGGACTACTGCTCTCAACACCAGACAGCATCAGCTGTGTCGGTCGGATCAGTGCATCATGACTCAGATTTGTTCTGAACCTCCATCACAGCCAGTGTGACTAATCCAGCAGAGACACGTTTGGCTAACAGCGTGCCTGTAAAGTTTGAGTGAGCCTCCAGTTCTCCTCCTCTGTCACAGTGAGCTTGGTGTGATCACACACTGACTGCGGAGGTGAGAAGGAAGCAGGGCAGCTTTCAGCAGCAGCGAAGGACGACAGCTGCTGAAAACATGGGAATCGTTCCCTCACGTGTGTCCCGATGTTAACCATGAAGCCCCCTCACATGAAGGCGGCAAAGATCTCAGGTTTTGTTTTACTCAAGGACACTTCAGCAGGGGTGGAGCGAATGAGGTTACACGCTGCTCACCGTTAGCCTGGTCTCTACCTGGATGCAGCTCCTGGTAAAATAACAATAACACTATAAATAAATAAAAACCTTTAACAGGTTTGAATATTTGCTGTTTGTAATTAATAAATATAATAATTCATGTAAAGTTAAAATATTTCTTTATGTCTTTGTTTTACTTTTTAATCATTACTTACACTATCAATGTTTACAATTACGTTAGTGTTGATAGATTCAATATATTTGAAGCTCATGCTTTTGTATATTTATTGGCCTTTTTTTCTTATGTTAAATGTTTTATTACTAAAATAATCAGAAGACTCATTGAAAGCAGAAATATTTTATCGTTAGTTAAATAACACTAAAGTTATGGTCATTGTTGATGTCCTCAAATCCTTTGTTTCCAAAGTGTGATCATAGTAGGGATATTTAAAAGTGATAAATATATGTCTAGAACATTTTTTTATTGTCAGTGGGAGAAAAAAAAATCAATTTTAGTTTTTTCTGACATTTTAAGGCTCAAACGACCTTCACACCAGCTGATCGGCCGTAAGACCGTTTGTCTGTGACGTTAAAGCCATCATCACTAATAATTAGCCCTAAATCTGTGCCATCAACAATGGGACTTTCACTTTAAAATCGTTCTCTGATATCTTCACAGTCAAATGAAAAGTTTAATAATTCTGCTAACACACTTTGCGAACTAGTCACATTTCCATTTCAATTTTATTTTTATCGCGACCAATCACAACAATAATTGCCTCAAGGCGCTTTATGTTATGAGACCTAACAATAACAGAGGACCCAAAAGTCTTTTTTTCTGTTAGGATTCGACCAAACCTCTGATCCTGTGATGGTTTAGGCCTCGCAGGGTTACTCAGCAGTTTGTGTGATGTTTACGAAGTGGCTGCTGACAGAAAGAACTTGGTTCGCTGTGACTCGTTGGTTTTTTTTTTATACTTTTGCATACCTGCGTCGTGTTTCTGGAGCAGGAGTTTCTGAAGGTCCTCCACATCCTGCATGTCTGCAGGTTATATTTACAGTATTTGTGAAAGAAAACTGTAAAACGTCAAAAAACAGCTGAGATTAGTATCAGTGTGTGCGCCACTGCAAGCTGGACTCAATAATGTGTGCATGTGTGTGTGTGTGTGTGTGTGGCTACATTACCCTTGGCTAACTGGCTCACTATACAGACCGTAATACGTTAGCATAATAATATCAGTGTATACACAATGTACAGTGCCGGTGTTTACTTGTTAAGGCATATCGTATCCTTACATGACATAAATAACATCAGTGTACATATTATACAAATAAGTGATGTCATTAAAGGTTCAATCCACTCAAAAACATCCACAAGTCACTTTAATGTTTCTTCTTTAAGATGAAATCAGCTTTTTACCCATTTTAGGCTTTTGACTCTTTCATAGACGTTCGGATTATAATCAGTGGTGGAGTGTAACTAAATACATAGGCTCCAGCTTCCCTGTGCCCCTGCATTGGATAAGGGGATGGATGGAAGTCGTGTAGGCACAAGTAATTAATTCTGGGAACCCACTGGGATGTCTGATAACTCAGCCACTGGGTATAATGGCTAATTTTGTGGTACCAGGCAGGCCACGATTTCCATTTTTAATTTTTTTATAATTAATAAAAAACTAACTGTCATAAGATACTACACAATGGTTATCTAATATACTTTGACAAATGTAATCCTGCATTTCCTCTCTACATGAACTGTTTACCCGCATCTATCCAAAGCCTGGACTACAAACAGAAACCAAAAGGCTTCCTGTCCCAAAAATGTCTTCATACTCATACAGAATCTGCTTATAAGGATCATTATAAATTTAACACAAGTAGAGCTCAAACATTAAGTTATAGAAGTTAATTATTTTTGCCCCATGTCCTTTAAATTGTTTTATTAGCATTTTTTCTCCTACAGTTTTTTACTCGATAAAATAAACACTCACTCTCTTTAACACCAACATTACTCTCGGTTGTCTAAATGTCCAAACGAAACAATGGATCTGTGCTTTGTAATCAGCGTGAAGTTTGCAAAAATGTGCACAATTACTATCAAGGGAGCCAATTCTGCTCACATCCTGCTTCATATTTTTGTTCTCTGCCAAAATAGCTTTGCATGATTTACAGTTCAAAATAATCCTTACTTATTTTAAACTGGATGTTGCCTTGAAAATAGAATATATTTAAAGGCAGGTGGGCGGGGCTTCTGTGCTCTCTGAATGAAAAGACCATATGAAGGATTTCCTTTCTTTGTGACTTCATACAAACCAAAGCTGAGTATTGTGACTTTCCATCACTGTAACAGGATATATGACAGAAAATAAGGATTTACAACAGGTCCCCTTCGAGTTAATGCAGGACTTCTTTCTTGTGTTTAGTACTTTTTCTTAAGTAAAGATCTGAAGTGTTCGTCCACCACTGATCATAAAAACTGCTCAGTCGAAAAAAGTTCATGCGCACTTTCAAATGATACAAACCATAAAGTCTATGTAAGTCTGGCGTGTAGCACAGGGTAGTTTCATATAAATATGACTTCAAGTTCTGGAGAAGCAGCTGCTGCTTATAGATGAAGTTTCCCTCTCTGATGGAGTCTCTGCTGTGGAAGCTGATGCTCACAGAAAATGCTGATCAGTAACCATGAGGCAACAGTTTTGGATGATGCAGCACGAGACACCAGATATGTGACACAATACTTATTGTTGATGCTGCATTCACTGACACTTTTTATGTAAAACAGGCTTGTTGGAGAAGTCGATTTTTACACATTTTCTTTTTTGGTTCTGTCGCTTGCAAAAATGAATGTGACCCCTGTTAAATTACTCATTGTTGTGGCTTAAAATTTTGATTTTGAAATGCTTCTGTGATAAAACAAAACAAACAAAAACAAAACAACAACAAACAAACTGTGTTCTTCATCTAGTGTCTGCTGTGATAAAACAGCCGTGATTTCCAACCAAGATCTGCTCAGAAACTGTTTGTCAAAGAGAAAAATAAGAAAATAAAAGAAATCATTACAGACGACTATGCTCTTTGACGCCTGGAGCAATGCTTTCTGGGTAACGTGTATCACTTCTGCACCTGCCAGGCTAACACCTCTCATCGTTACCTCCTAGCTGTCGCTGCAGCCAGCCAAACGTTAAAGCTGCATTAAGCACTTTCTGACCACAAGGGGGCATAATCAGCTTTTAAGCTGGTGAGTTAAAGCAGACCATGCACGGAGGAGTATTTCTCACTGGGCTGCCATTTTCTGTACTTACAGTGAGAGAAAGCAGCAGCAGCATGTGCTGTGTGGTTATAGACAGATGGATTCTGGACGTTTGAGGCCAATAAGAGAATCAATATTTGATGGCTTAAAAGTTCCCCGTGGAGGTTTTTTTCTGCCTCTGCTAAAAATCTGCTGGCAGAATATCAACAAAGACACAAACAGCTGTGAGGAATCTGTGATTTTAAGAAAAACGTTCTTTTTATCATCTGAACATGAGCATTTCACCCGACACCATTACAACAAATTAACTGAAATTTTAAGAAAGCTTGCAGCGTCAGATCCATTATTAGCTAAATCTGCAGCTCCTCTTAGATTTTCTGAGCTTTGTAAAAGATTTCTTCTTGTTTAGGTGTTTGTCAAAACCCTGATAGACAAAGCCAGAGGTGAGCTGGCGACCACAGGGCAGTGACGAGCAGCAAAAGAACAAGGTACTAAGATAAAGAGAGGGAATAATGGAGGAAAAAATAATCACAAACACAAGCAGAAATGAATCATAATGCTACTCTACAACTCTGATCAGCCCCAGCAGGCTGGCATTATGGAGAAAAAAAGGCAAACATCAAACGGGATGAAGTGGGAACACAGTGGAGTTTTTAGCAACTAAAAAAGATCAAAAACAAACTCCAGCAAGGTCCCATTAATCATGTGGGCACAAAAACCAGCAATTATATGATAATAAATTTATATTACAAGTAAGCAAAGACAGTTTTACTACAAAAAAGTCAATTATAATTTGTCAATTATAAGTCACAGAAATGTCAGATGGAACGAATTGAGACCCTTTCCAGCTTGAATCCACCTCCCAACATTAAACCACATCTGTCTGTGCGGCCAGAAAAACAAAACAAGCAGCTAAAAGGAGCCAAGCGAGCTCTGTTCCATCTTTTTAATCAGTCACTTATTTTGCTTAATGCAGGTTTAAACTGAACATTTTAAGCTTTTTTTAGGGTTTTCTGCGGTTAACCTTCTGTATTAATGGCTGGAGGTGAACGTCGCCAAGCTTTCAAAACTGTTGCCTCTGTTTTTTGTATGACAGCGAGTTGCTCTTTCTTTTACAGTCATTTACTGTGAAGTCTGTTATAGTGCTATTCACAGCAGCGTTGCAAGCCGAGTATTTAGTGTGAGTGTGTTAAGGTGAACCTGCTGGTTAGGGCTTAAAATATGGCTAGATTTAATTACCGAACTTCCTTTCAGCATCAGTAAAGAATTTTCACAATAAAATGTTAATCTTACTTTCTGCGGTGCTTTATATCATAATGTGCTTTATATTGTATGAATCTGATTAACATACTAGGATTCAAAATCTTCATTTTAATCTTTGATATGCATCCGTTCATGTCCACATGTGCTCTTATCCACATTGCCACAGGCTTACCTCTCGTCTTCCACCCAGTTGAGCCCTCTGTTGTAAAGTCATACATCCCTTGTGATTGGTCAGAATAAATATCCCTTAAGCTCAGTTCATCCCTACATGCCGGGTAACAGCTCCGGCAGGAAGTCTCTTGCTTAAGATGGGGTTCTCCCCTCGGCACAAACGGGCGACCTGCATCCCCATAATGCACCTGGGGGATCGCGCAGAGGAAGGCAGAGGGTGGAGCTAGTTGACTCCACGTGCAGCAGCAGCAGAAGAAGAAGCAGCAGGAAGAGAAGGAGGAGGGTTTTTGCTTGGTCCCGGTACTGATTTGGAGTCCCGGCTTGGCTCTGGCTGTACGTTATTCCGCGTCTCTGCGCATTCCACCAAAACCTCCTCGCCTCCATCCCCGCCCTCACCTAACCTCGCCTCTCCAGTCGCCAGCTGCTTCATCCTCAGGTTGATGGAGCCGTAAGTCCTCTTGGGTCGAACGAATGCCGCCCTGCGTCGGTACATCTCGCCCCGGCAGATGGACACCATGAGCAGCACGGACAGGAACATCCCTCCCAGGGTCAGCAGGCCCAGGCCCGCGATGATGCACTTATCCAGGTGGGAGCCAAGCTGGGCGTAGTACATCTCCAGCTTCTCCATCTGTCGCGCCGAAACTGAGTCAGGGTCGACTTTGGGCTCCCGTGGGATGGTGTAGGCGATTACCACAAGGACGATCCCACTCACGAGGAACACCAGCGCCAAGATGAAGCCATAGTCTGCCGAGTGGTCATCAACCGGGCGAAATTCAGTGAAGTCCTGACCGTCCTCCTGACCTCCACCTGCTCCACCACCGCCTTCCTCCTCATCATACGACTGTGGTGAGATCTCCTGATGATGATGCTAGTGAGAAAGGGAGGAAGGAAACAAGGAAAGAAGAGAACAGAGGAAAGAAAAATATAGAAATAAGAACAGAAAAAGGGGGAATAAAGGGGTTAAGGAAAAGATAGAACAGATAAAATCATTAATAAAAGCACAAGGAAAGAAGGAGCGAATGAAGTGAAGAAACAGAGGGAAAGGGAAAGGGAGCAGGAACCGAAAGAAGGAAGGAATAAAGGGAGATGGGGAGAAGGAGGAAAAAGGAAGGGAAAAAAGGAAGGTAGGAACAACAGACAGGTGAAGACAAAAAGAAAGATGAAAGAAAAAAGGGTCAAATAAAAAAGGAAGTAGGGAAAGGAGGAAACAATGGAAAGAGTAAAGAAAAGAAGGAATATGAAGATAAAAGAAAGTAAAGATGTGACACAAGAAAGAGAATTTGAGAAAGAAAGAAAAGAAGCAAGGAATGAAGTGGAGAGGGAGGAAAGAATTAGAAGAAGAAAACACAAGGAAAGAAAGAAAGAAGGATGAGATAAACAAGCCAGAGCACAGCGCTGAGGTCAGCGTTCACAGAAAGCAGTGAGATCACATCAAAGAGGAGAAAATGCGTCGGCGCGACGACCTGTTACTGATGAATGTCGCCGACGTGTGTCAGTAAAAGCTGTACAGATACAGATGAGCTCCGTGGAGTCGTGACAGTCTAACAAACAGCACAAACAAAATAAAAGCCCAGGCGGGAGAGTGATGTCACCCCAAAGGCATCTAAACAGCAATCAGTACAAAGCCATTTTCCAATTAAGAAGGACGCTTAAATCTGTTTGTTTCCTGAAGACAAACATGCCAGAAAACCCTGGACAAGTTCTTTTTCCAGGCCCGCAGCTGTACGCCAGCGTGTGTTTGTCTCTTCTCACAGGGTTCATCTTCCAGAGAGATGCCTGTGAAGCTGGATTTCTGGCTCAGGTTAGATTTGGAAGGTTACATCACTTTTGGCTACGGGGTTCGCTCTGTAACCCGAATCTGCCGAGTTCACATAAGGACTGTTTTAAGCGACTTTAAAAACATCCAAAACAAATGTCTGCCACAACCACCAAACCCCACCGCGCTCACCTTACTGTTTCCTGATGTGGAAGGCGGATAACTCGTCGGCTGTTGCTCCTGCTGACGGAGGTCCTGCTCCTCATCCTGCTCGTAGGAGGCGTTCTCAAAGCCCCGGGCGGAGCAGCCCAGCGTTGCTGCTGTCCAGGGTGCTGAAGTCGGTGTCGGAGACGGGCCTCGCCGGGCTCCACTCCCTCGCAGCTCCCGGAGCTCTACGGTGTTGAAAGAGGACTCCATCGATATGTGCTCATGTCTTCATTGGACCTCCACTCGGCTTTATCCTCACTGAATAAATAGATTAAATATTATATGATTCATGACACATATGAAAGGAGTTATATAATCCAACGGAGCCCGACTTGACCTACAAAAAACATCATTTTCTGTGTCTCTGGTTAAGACTGGATTGATCGTAGGCTCACATTAATAACATGTAGCCTTATAGTTTATTTATCAGTCATGGTCAGAAGTGGTTCTCAAGTTGTCAAAGGGTTACTTCAGATCCATCCCATTTTTTAGGAATCTTTGTAAAATTTCCATAAACGTGCAAATGAATTCATCGATGAACTGGTGAAACTTTTAATGTTCAAAGAAGAATCTGACTTCCTGTTTACCCTAATATTAAGCACACGTCCTCTACTTTGTTCTACGATATGAACAAACGCACTGGGCCTCCAACACCGCACACCTACAGGAGCTGTGCTGATGATGATGTCAGAGGAAGTTTGGTCAGTACGTACTGGCCAATCCCTGCTGTGGTTCCTGAATGCATCCACTTTGCAATAATACCACTTACAGCTGATTATGGAAACTCTATGAAGGAAGAAATTTCATGAACTGACTTTCTGCAACAGTGGTGTCCTGTTAGAGTGCCACACTTGAATTGAGTGCACTCTTCAGAACGACCCATTCTTACATAAATGTTTGTAAAGGCAGACTGCATGGCTCAGCCTTCACTCAGTGTTTATGCTCCTTTTTCTTGGTTCACCTCAGCGATTGGTAGTTTTCTTAAGGTTGAGCTCTTTTCAGATTGCACATGTAGAAATGCTTTTTATTCAACTGAATTTCTTCTTCAGAGATGATGGTTTAACTCTATCTTTCCAGGTTTTAATAACACATTGAACAGTTCTTAACCAGCTGTAGTTGCTTCAGTGTTTCTGTTTGGTTGTTTTCTTTGCTTGATGCAGGTCAATAATTTGATCCTCATGAAACAGAGTAACATGTTTTCCACTATGGGCTGTGTCTTCCTACGTGGTTGTTTAAGAAATGAGAAGCAGTTAGGATTGCATAACCTGCTGGCAGCTGAAACATATTAACCACTGCAGTAATTAAACACTGGATAATAACTGCTGACATTGTTTTTGACCAGGCAGTTTGTGTTACTGAGCTCTGTGCTGCAGACTCAAAATAAACACGTTAGTTAAAACTCATCCCTGATATTACTTAATTTTATTCTGAGGCAATGAGTTTGCACATTTTTAAGACATTTATAACAAGAAGTGACTGAGAACAAGTACAAATCAGCTCAAAATGAAAACTACACGTCTGTGTACTCATATATATATTAATCAAAACTAATTCCAGCGATTTATGATAATTTGATTAATTTTAATGGGTCTGTCTCACAAATGCATTAAAATAACATTTTTACTTTCAAATGCAAATTTTTACTCGACTGTTTTCACATTTGCTCAAGTGAAATAAACGTCTCGCTTCTTCTTCCGCCTCAGTGAAACCAGAAGAATCGTGCACTATTTGTCACACCTGAGAGGGGATTCATCCTGCAGGCCTGCTGTCTCCACACCACCTGCAGACAGGAATCCATCAGACATTTAATCACACACGTCTCACCTTCATGGTTATTCATTCCCATTTCTTCTCCCTGTCATCACTGTCGCGCTGACACTTCTCCCGTTGATGGAGAGTTAAAACCAGCTAAATCCTAAAGTAAAGGAAGAGAGAGATGTTTGCAGCTGATTTCAATTCATTGTAAGCTCTTTAAACCAGGTCAAGGTGAAAACTGATATGTGTGCATAGAGATGCGTTAACAGGAGGGAGCAATTTAAACAAAGTGAGACAATTGCTTTAACCTCCTAGGACCTGCCGTCCACATATGTGGACATCACATTTTGGGTTATTTAGACTAAAATACTCAATTTTGCTCTACATGCGCCTGATATCCACTTACGAGGACATTATACTGCTACTGTTCTATCAAAACTTTAAACGAATATCCTCATATGTGGCTCTTATTTTTCTTAGAAACAAAAATAAGGTTAAAAAAATCTGGTAATTCTCTGTTTTTACATTCATCGGGCCCCAATGTGACCAAATATCAAAGAGAAATTAGAAATGCATGCTGTGAAAAGTTTGGGTGTTATGAGGTTAAAAATGCACTGAGTTATTTATTTTTGTTTCACAGAGAAGAAACTGTCTGCCTGTGCTGGTTAACACCTCAGAGCCCCGGGTGTGATCCTTATCAAGCACAAGCTGGTGTGAATATTAAAGAGGCTCGATAGCTCAAGTCTGAAGATCCAATGTGGGAGTAAAAAACGCTTTTAGTTCATAGTCAAAATCAACCCAATTTGATAAACTGATCTCAAGTGGGCAGGAGAGTTAAAATGACTGGATAATAAAAGCTATTAAACAGTCTATTAAAGTCTTTGTTTTAATGGATTTTTAAAATTGAATGGCACAAAACAAGGCAGGGACCCTACAGGAAATCAGAGCGTTTGATTAAAAATAAAGTGCAGTGTAAAAAACATTACAGAAAAAATGGCCCCACAAGCATAGAAAACAATGTTTCATGTTAAACAATGTTTAATAATGTTTTTCAAAGTGGTGAAAGAAGTTCTCCTTAAGTAAAAGCTATAATCAGCTGTTACAATCATACTGTGCAAGTCTTAAACCTTATTAGTCCCTTATTTCTTTAGATTTTGCTTCCAAGGATCCAGAATTTCTGAAAGTCTTTCAAAGTTTTTCTTTAGACCTTGGCTGCTTTAAAAACCTTTTTTTGCTCAGCCACTTAACACTGACCCATGAATCATTCAAGCATGAAATGGGACCAGTGTTGTGTCTCCAGGCAGCTCAGCAAAGAACCAGTGGTTTGGCCAAAACTGATGCAAAGCCATCTGATGGGCAACGGCATCATTTTCAACATCCCAAACACAATAATGTAATTTCCTCTACACAGCACTCAGTCCCTAACACAGAATAACACATTCATATTGATATTCTTAGATATGTAATATATGAAGTAATTAATGCTTTACAATAAATGGTATGAAGTAAAAAGTACTAAAATACTGACATCCAAAATACAGTGGAGTAAAAGTAGAAAGGAGCAACGTACATTAAAATGATTCTTTAGTAAAGTACTTGAGTAAATGTACTAAGTTACAATCCACCACAGCTTGTATCCATTTCCTTCTAGTATAATTGTCCTGCTCTGGGCACGCCCCTGCTCTAAAGAAAATAAATGCAATGTAAACATGAAGTCTGACTGTTGTTCTTCTTACACGCGCAGGGATATTCACAGCGGCTCTTTAGAGGCAGAAAACATCTCCACGCGGAGTGTTTTGTAACCGAATGAGCAAAATATTACTTCTTTGTAGACCAGCAAAGCAACTTATTAACAATTATTCATCACTATGAATGACTTCCCAACAGCAGGCCACATGTTAGACAGGGCTGCTCTAACACAGCACAGCCTTTTCACCAAGCTGTGATTTCTGCTCCACAAAGCAGCGCATCACTCGTCTGTAATCTCCGGGGAGCTCCGGGCTAAAGTAGCCCACTGACACACTTCTCGTTTATCATCAGAGCCCGCCTCGATGGATCACATCTGGGAGCCCGAGTGCCCATGAGCAACCCGTCATTCCACCCTGTGGCTGTGCTCCAGCACCACCGTGACCTTGCGATGCGCCAAACTGCCAAAACCTGAACCAGTGCACTCCGCCTGTGTGTGTGCGTGTGTGTGTGTGTGGAGATGATATCAGGATGAACCAGGGCAGATAAGCACCACACTGACTGACACGCTTTTCATTACCCCGAGCAGACGGCAGATAACACGGACCAAACGAGGAAGGAGAGTCCGAGTCTGCGATGATCGCATTCAGAGGTAAATTATGCAACCAGGCGGATTTCTCTGGAGGGAAACACCGGGAAACGAGTCAGTATCCAGGCAGGCAGCATCCACCCCGCGCTGCATCCCAGAAACGCGAGAGAAAAAAAAACAAAAAGAAAGGCGAAAAAAGCCTCGATCACCTGCAGGGGCACCGATGAGAGGACCGGAGCACTGAGAGCGGGCAGTGATGGGGATGACAGCGGGGTCTTACCTGGTGCCCAGGGCGCGACCAGACAGGAATCCGACGGCTGTGGACATCCGGAGAGATGGATGCTGCTGGATGATGATGAGTGAAGAGGACGGAGAGCGAGAGAGGGAGAGAGAGAGGCGAAAAAATGACTGAGGTGAAACTGACCATGCGCAAAACCAGCTCGTGGCTTTCCCTGCTGGTGTCTGCTGAGCTGAGCTGGTAGTGGTGGAGTCACAGGAACCTCTCCACTCTGCGCCTTTTGACCTACATCACTTCACGACATTTTCCCTAATTTAATGAGGCAACAGCGCCCCCAAACCAAACTGCAGCCTGTTAATTGAGGCGTTTGTGATCTGACAGATCTGATTCTTCTCCAAAATCAGGAAATCAGGGAGTGATTTTACCTGAAACTGGCAGAAACCCTGAAAGAAAATATTCCTAGTTCATGAGTATATTTAGTGTTAAATCATTTTTTAACATTGGATATTTAAGTTTCTTCATTTTGGTGTCAAATATACGTCTTTACCAAATCCCTTTATGGCAGAATTTTTTTTTTTTTAAGTAAAGAAACGACAAAAATCTCGCATCAGTTGAACAAATATTGCTTTTTTTCTTTCTCATTTAGTATTATCTCTGCGGAGGCAACACACACACACACACACACACACACACACACACACACACACACACACACACACACACACACACACACACAATAATAGATGGGATTCTGTTTCCCTGGCTCGAGATGGGAAAGTCAGAATGCAATGAACGTGCATGCGTCGCCCGGCCATGAATAATTCATAGTCCTGTGAACTTTAATATCTCAGAGATGTTTAAAACCTTCTACACATTCAAAAGATGTCACACATTTCTGTGTTTTGGGAGGATTTTCACCAGTCAAGCACATCTAAACTCTGTTATTGAGGCTGATGGAAAACAAGAAGAAAAGACAACATTATATGACAGTTAGTCACAAAGCGAATGTTGGACTTCCTTCTGCATTTTCTCTGAATCCTTGTACGTCTGAGGATACGTGTGTTTACCACAAAAGACATATTGTCTAGGAAAATGTATTAAATTGTATAGAAAAAAGGGAAGCATGTCTATTATGTCATCCATTTCTACCAAAATGATGCTCAAAATTTCCAAAAGAAAAATTTGTCCAAAATGTAATTTTTGGCCTGCAGGCTGATAGAACCATTATTTACTGTAGACAATCTCTCAAGAGCCCCTTATGAAGCTGCAAGTTCAGAGCGGGAGTTCTTTGGTCACAAGCTGAATGTTTTTTCAACCTAAGAAACTAAGGGCACCACGCCCTGTTTCATCCTTCTTCTGTACACTAATGGAGACCTCAGAGTTTTAAAATCAGCACTGTGTCTTTCAGTAAGGCTTGAAAATTTCAGATGAGACCATTAATTCATCAGTAAAGGGCAGACATCAGGGGAGCAGTAGAGCTGTTTTCTCATAGAAGTCCATACGGTCAGAGCAGTCGGCCCCTGCTGGCCATTACAGAGAATGCAGGTTTAAGGCACTCCCACGGTGAGTCTTTCACACCCATAAGCTGTGTCCATCTGATAAATACAGTCTGTGTCTGTGCCTTGTTTAACAGCGTTGTATACTGTAGACCTGACTTTTGGATCTTGGATAACTGGCTGCCAGCAGTGGAAGTGAACCTACAGCGGTGATTTAGATCAGGGCGTCATGACTGTGAAAAGAACCTCATAAAGGAACAGCAGTGGCAGGTAAAATGTTAAACATCACAGGTTTCCTCTAACAGATTCTGAGCCCCTGCTCGGTCTCAGTGAAGAAACACTGGCTGCTGGTGTGAAGTCATCCATGAACAAAGAGCCGGCAGGGTGTGAGACGGTGAATAATCTCATGTCACGACGACCGGGATGCATTTCACTGCAGCCTCGGGCAAATTATCAGCACTCACCTTGTGGAGACGTAAGGTGGGGGGGGACGTGTGGCCCGTCAGAGACGCTGCACAGACAAACCACAGAGAGGATGACTCTCAGGCAGCTTCACAGAGGTGGCCTAAATACTGAGCCGGGCTAATTTTAGATCAGGTCTTTGTGTTCAGTTTACCAGGATAAAAACGATTGCATTCATGAGGATGAGGAGAATTACGATTTTCTTCTTCTCCTCACAGTGTTTGAGTTCTGAGAGACAAGCTGCAGTTTTCTCTGAATACCATTAGAGTAACTTTAATACAAAGCTGCCCTTTGTCAGAATTTCAAGGCACAGCCAAAGAGATCCAGTCACAGTCTTTGTAGTTTCGCGTCTGTACACAATCACGGTGGATTTTAAACCAAACGATTAAGATGTGATTGAAGCGCAAACTTTTATCTCTTATTCAAAGAGTTTAGCTTAATATTTGCAAACGAAAACAAACTTGGCAACATTTAACCCAGTCAGGAATTTGAAGAGATGATAGACTTATGATTGTCAAGGTCTGTCAAAGAGAAACCACCATAAATGGAATTAAAAACAAGGCACAAAGCACTGTTAACCTCAAGAACAAGAGCCTGAACGGCTATTTCAGCTGCTTTTCTGGTTGGTAGCCATCCTTTGATGAACTGGTTCATCTCATGGAAATATATACACTTTTTTTCCCTTTGAGACTCAAAGCGAGTCACGTTGTTATATTCTCCTCTGCCCAAAAAAAGACCCCCGCCAGCTTCACTTCATAAGAACTACATTCTCCCCCGTCTTTCCTTTTCTTTGCAGTAGTTTCTTCGATTTCTGCTGAAATCTGCACAGCGTGCGGTTTGGTGTTGACTCAAAATTTTCCCTGTTCAGAAAAGAGTGGGCAGCCAGCACTTAACCTGTGACGACAGTCTTCTCTGCTTTCACTGGCATTTGTAAAGTCTGGCTTTTACCTAAAGTGCCCGGCCTGCGGTGTTCACTTTAGAGCCGATCAAAATGTCAGACATTGTCTCAGCATGCGAGCCCGGAGGACAAAGAAGAAAAATACGGCGCATCTCAGCAAATCATCAGAAAATCACAACGAATATATGAAAACAGAAAAAGTGAACAAGTGATGTCTTGAGTTACAGAATAAAACTGAATCTACCAAATAACAGTTGAAGTGTGGTCACTTCCTGACCAGTGGAACCTCACCACAAGGGCCATTTAGTGGTTTTCAGGAGCCTCGACTTACATTATCCAGTCATCCATCCCTCTTCTTCTACTTATTCGATTTAGGGTCACAGGAAGGCTGGAGCCTATCCCAGCTGTCCTCGGGCCAGTTAACCTAACATCAGGTCTGGACTGTGGGAGAAGCCGGAGAAAAACCACGGCGGTGCAGGGAGACTCCACCCAGAAAGGCCTCAGCAGCCTGGTGGCCACTCACCCAGGACCTTCATGGTACTGATCACCCCCCCAAGTGACGTGAAAAGTCAAGAATTCACTTTTAAATTATTTTTAAAAATATTTTCACCAAAGAAAATTTAAAAAATGAAATAAGGGGGACACATGAAAGCTAAATTTCACAATGAAGAGTTTTATTATACAAAACTTGACTATTTGTAGAAAATACAAATATCACTGAAGTTGACGGGCGACGCCCATCGATCAGTGTTTTTAAGGCCTTCCATAAAACAACTCGACACCTTTTAAATGTTTATTTTACAAAACTTTTTTTAGCAATTATGAAAAAGCCACGGTAGGTAGAAGCTGAGAGACTGATTTCTAACACATCATAGAATAAAATCGAGTGTAGATACTACACACCTGCGTACAAAAATGCTGCTTCAGCCGAGCAGAACACCTGTAATTACAGCACAACATGGTTCAAACCACAAAATAAAAAGAAACATTAAAACTAATAAAAGACGTTTTCTCCACAGAAATCAAGTCTTCAAACAAAGAGGAGACATCTGCAGGAAGTGTAGTGAAAGACATCATCTCAAGGAAACGATACACGGTTTAGACGTTCAACTATTTCAGACATCTGAAAAAGGTTTCAGATACTTCTGCGCTTCCTTTTCTCCACTTATTTTCCTTAATACTGTTATTTATTTGCATATGTACAAAAAAGGCACCAACACAGGCAGGCTGAGAGGTCTGACCCTGAAAACTCATCTATAAAGGCTCTCTGAATCAAAAAGTGTTCACATCAGATTTCTCTGAAAGAGGAGAAGGTGTTTATATTTTGTTTGTTTTGGAAATCATGTATGAGAGGTGTGGATGATTAGATACTCCAAATATCAAATATTCTTTGAGTCTGTTAAAACAAAGAAAGGTAATTCCTGCAGTATGAGAGTTTTAAAGTGCTGAGTCACAAACACGCAAACAGCTGTCGCCACACTGAAAAACAAAGTCTGCTACTACAGCTGCTTAAAGACCAACGTCTGATCCCAGACATGTCATCAAGCTGGCTGCATGTGATGCTCAGCTGGCGACTGTAATAAATGAGACGATCACCACCAGGCTCAGTTTACAGGCAGAGTCCACAGTTTGTCTGTTTTTAGGTGGAAACTGCGACTGTGAACGACTCCATGGAGATGCGTCACGCTCGCCTGAGAATGACAAGTTACCGCTTGGCTTACAGAGTCCATTGACACAGACGCTACACCGATCGCTGTTACTGAGTGAAGCAATGCAAGAACAAGGCCGCCATATTGTTCAGGAGGCTCTGGGCTTCTAATGCTTTACGTCTGTGAAGGAAGAGACCTATGCATAATTAAAAATCATCAGAATTTGCTGAAATTTCAACTGATTTTCAAGCAGTTACAAACGCTTGAATAGGTTTACCAAATTTTAGAATCATAGCTGATTATTTTCAGCTCTGTTTTGATGTTAAATATAAAAGTGGGACTTAACCATCATTGAATCCAGTTTATCTTCCTGTCAAGTACTTTACATGAAAGTTGCAGACGAGGGATTCAGTCTGAAGAGCTGGAGTCCACGATAGTCTTCTGACTTTATCTTTTAGGAATCTGCACACAAATCAGCAGTTATGTGAACAACGCAGTGCAGGTTAACATATTTATATAGCCACAATCCAGCTACATATTTAACTTTTTAACGCTCGACCGGGTAATTTAGGATGATCACAGCTGACGAGCCAGTTAACATCCTTTATATGTCATAATAAAACTTGTAGCACAGCTTTCATAATAGTATTATAAAAGGTGTTTATCCTTCCTGACATAAGCCAACATTAGCTTATTATAATGCCAGGACATTGATTTAAACAAAAAGTCAGATTAGAGGAAGGATTACTTATTGTTATCTAATCAAACATGTTTCTCAAACAGTAAAATCTGTTTAAAAAAAAGAAAAAAAAAAGAAATATATATAATTGGTGCTTTGATTTAGCATCTGTTTCTTTGGAACACCACAGAGCTGAAAAACAACTTTGCTGTTTAGTATAATAATGTGATCCAAAGTCAGTCAGACCTCCTGAATAAGACGGCGGCAGCAGGGATGCATCGTGTAAGCCCCGATTTGGGATCTACATGTATCTAAGCACACACAGATTTTTCAGCTGCTAGGAACGATTTTAGAAACATTAATCCCTCCATCAACAAAATTTAAAACCAGAACAATTAAAACCGACCTCATTACACATCTTTTTTTTTTTTTTTCTCCAGAGGTTTGCGGGAAAGCAAAAACCCTTTCCCTGTGGAATTTCAGGTGCAATACCACAGGTGGCCACTAGGACAAACTGGCAGTAAGTGAGTGGAGGCAACTGAACAATTAAAAGCTCAAAGATCAAAAACGGGACCTCTGATTCAAGCGGATTGGTTGATTAAATTAAAGGGGCGGGATTAAAACTGAAAGGAACTGAACGTGAGTCACACCGAGGATTGAACACGAATATAACAAGCACCTCTGTGCAAAGACGTAACGCAAATCTCAGTGAGCGTTTCGCCTCTTGTGTGAGTTTTGTTTCGTGATGTGGATCAAACAATGTGATCGACAGACAGGAAGCAGAACTACAACTTGCTGTGGATAAAACAAGAAAAGCATCAATATCGCTGTGCGTTCGGTGTCTTGTGCCCTTGGATTAAAATCAAATGTGAGACATAAAACAGGCACCTTAGCTTTACGTTTCCTGAAATCAAACAGGTCTCTGTGTGTCGCTGGATTTTTCTTTTTGAACCTGAGGAGCCGTTAATCTTAATGCTTCATTACTTTCCTGGCAGAGTTTCAGGTTTGAGTTTCTGTCCCTCTGTCGGCCCATCAGTGACTCTGCCGCTCCGACACGACATCCTGGAGGCGCTTCAGCAGCACATCTGGGCTGCTGCCGTTCTCCGGACACGCCCTCTTACTCGGGGAGTCGCATGCCGACGACATCATGACGTCCCCCTCCATGTTGAAGGCTCTCTTCCTGCTCACGCAGCCCTGCCGGATCATCCGGTTGATGTCTGACAGCTCCTGCAGAGAGGAAAGGACACACTGAAGCATTGCTTCCATTTTATTTTTATAGTGTATTATTGTTAGTTATGAGTTTTAACTGCACTGTGCACTCCCAACTTCCTGAATCTGATATGCTCGTATCTAATACTGTATTATCTAACACTTTCAGATTTAAAAAAAAAGAAATTTCATGGTGTGATTCAGACAAATTCATATTTGTGTTTGATAAGAATGATAAATGTTTTTTTCTTATTAAATCTAATCTGTAGAGGATATTTTCCTGGAAGGATTTTTGTAAATCTGGGTTTATGTCCCAGCTGTACATCAGAGCTCTTAACACCCTCCCAACACACAAACAGCTATTGATAACGACAACAAACTAGTACAACACCTTTCATGTGTCCTGAGCAGTGTTTAAAACACTTTTTTAATAAACTGTGAGGCTGTTTCTACAGACCATCAACACTTTTTAAGACTTTGTTCTAGATGATGACTGATTACACTGATGAGACCAAGGACCAAGATTTAAATGAGACTAAAATTATCAACAGAAAGTTTAGGAGTTACAGGACCTTACTCGGCTGAAACGGTTAAATACAGTCTTTTAGAAGCAAATCCCACCACTCTGCAGCCATCTTTGAAATGCTTCTGGGCACTTATTGTGAAAGGGGAGAGACCCCCAACTATAAATTCACAAGAATATTAGAAGCGCCTGCATATAATCATCACTACAATGTGAATCGAAAAAGATGACTAAAAAGTTTTGGGAAGTTAAACAACATTGAACAACAGACACTTCAGAGAAAAGTGTAAAACAACACATTTCTGTATCCCAATCAGGACGAGTGATACAACAGCTATGAAGCACAGAACTGTTTCATCCATTTGACTCAGAGTCTTCGATGGATGTGCCGTCCTTTACAACCTTATAGAACTAATGGCACATTGTGTTTTATCGCAGATACAGCCCGGTCCTGTTACAGAGACTCTTTGGCGCCATGTGTGTGAGTGACAGTGTGTTCTTGCCTTAGACGGGCTGCTGTTTATCCTGTAGGTGTAGGAGTTCGGCGTGAGACAGCCTGCTGAGTTCTTGTGAGGGGAGACGTAGAGCGAGTGTCTCTGAGAGATCCGGCGAGGAGACAGAGGCTGAGCCCGGACCGACGGAAACGGAGAGAGAGGAGGAGCGTCCGCCTGGAGGAACCGACACAGCCACGTCAAACAAGAACAAACATTCACCCACGCAATAATCTCGTTACCTTGGAGACAGGTAACGGCAGGAGCGTACCCGGTTATCGCTGGTGGCGTATCGCAGAGCAAAGCTCTTCATCTTCAGGACGTACACAGTGTTGTAGAACTGGATGAGGTCACCACGCTCTTCCTCCCCTCCTGATTGGCTGCAGTTTAAGTTTCCCGAGTGCTGATTGGTTTTCTCTGCAGCTGAAGAGAAAAGCAAATCAACGGTTTTGAGTAATTTATCAAATATCGAGCTCCACTTTTTCCTTCCTCATATCATCAGCTTTTCAGCCAGCTGCTTAAAGTCCTGCTTTTCTATCACCTAACTACATCGTTAATTTCCCTCCACTGTTTCCTCTTCCTGTCATATAACTAAATAGTGGGTTGAATCAATTTTTTACTTTGGGTGGCATAACACAAGCTCTAGTATCTCCTCCTTCGGTCTGATCATACTCGATGTCGTGTTTTTCCTCATGTATTAAAACAACTTTGTCATTTCTCTATTTCTTTATTGGGACGTTTTCGTGCATATTTTCAAAGCACTCGTGCCCCAGAATTAGACTGGTCAAATCCCCTCTGATGAGTCCTAATATGGGACCATAACTGAAATAATGTTAAAGCTAATTAGCATTTCTCTCAGTTAATCTAAGGCTGTAGGTTCTCAGCTGGAAAAGGGGGAACTGCCTGATCCAGGTGGGGAGGAACGAGTAGGTGCTTTAGGTAGAGGAGATGAAGTCTAGCTGGGTGTTGTGCATGAGTGAGGGGAGAGTGAAGCCAGAGAGCTTCAGCTGTGGGCAGTGACCAGTGACCTATGGATGGTGTCTGGAAGGAGGAGCTCAGTTGAGACAGTTTGAGAATCTGAGACGTTTCCAGGTCTTAGTCAGATTTATCTACTGCAGTTTAAGTATTTTATGTTTGTACAGCATGAGTGTTGGCTGCTGGGGCAGATGGAGGTGGTAGAATACACACAGATGGATGTTCTCAGCTAATACATGTATATTTTTTATTCCCCTGAAGATAACACTATAGACTATATGTCTGATGAAAAGCATAAAAAAAGATGGATAACGTGTCAGCCATCAGAGCGCCATCTGTAAAAAGTTTACCTGAAGCTTTCAGCGTGTACAAATACATAAATAAATAATAAATAATAAAGAGAGAATCCCTGACTAACCTCAAACATCTTAATAGGTTAAATTCAGATATCACAAACTGCTGTGCAGAAGATGCTGCCAGTCTTTAAATGCAACAACTGATTAAAAATGTTCATGAAATACGGCTGCCAATAAACACTGCTGCTTTGATGCTACATTAAAGGAAGTCATTATGAAACATATGTCTGTGAGAGCTTACATTCTCCACCCGAAACAGGATCCACCTCCATGTTTTCATCAGCCAGCTGCTCTCTGGGAGTGCGACGCAGTAAGACGCTGCGGTACACCTACATGTATAAACACAGAGTGTAAGAGTGGAGCCTCTACAAACATAACATTACTGATTAAGAGAATCAGTAATTAGCTTGTGTTAAAGGGGTTTCTCACGTGGCTGTTGGCCTGCGGCTGGCTGCGGTAACATTTCATGATGTCCTGGAAGGTGTGAGTGTCTTTGGTGATCTACAAGGAAGGACGGAAGGAAGGAAGGAAGGAAGGAAGGAGTCAAGAGATGTACAAACAAAATTGATTTCTTAAACTAGATGCCCTGATCCTTCAGGTAAGTTGTTCTGGAGAAACATCACGTTAGTACACAGGTGATTCTAAACTCAGGTATCCTTACCTCTGCTACAAGCACATGTTTCTTTTGTTCTAGTAGTTGAATTTCCAGCAGTGGAAAAGAAACTTGGGCTCAATTATGAAAAGAACAAATGAACAGGATACATACACACTACTGCGATGATGTGACACAGTTGATGCTGCTCAAACTTTCAGCTGGGCTTCATTTGCAAGGTTAGTAACAGCCTGCATGTATTAAATGTATTCTCCATCGGAGAAACTATACTGACAGCTAAGACAGCTAAAGGATAAAATGTTGTGAATAAACTGTCTGCTTTTCTCTGGCTGACTCAGCCTGGCTTTCCTGCACAGGTCGCTGGTCACAGCAGCTGTCAGAAACACATTTCCCTCCGAGGAGAAAAATCATGATTGAGAAATTAGAAAACAGTGTTAAAATGCCAGAAAGACATTTCCCAGCAAGCCAGCGCAGCAGCCTCAGGCGGTTTAAAAACAGCTGCCATACATTCTTCTTAATTAAATGTGAAGCTTTTCTCCGGGTTCTCACTTTGGAAATGATGTAAATGCTGCACAGCAGCAGCTGGTCGAGGTGCCGGTCCTTCATCAGATCGGTACAGTGGACCAGAGAGTGCTCGAAACAAGTCCAGATTTTCCCTCGCAGATCGGACGAGATGTCCAGCTTCACACACAAATCCCTCAGACGTACGCTAGCCAGGTGATACACCTGCAAGGGCAGAGGGACGAGATTTATATGTCCTGCCAATTTCACAATTGATCATTTCCAGCTGCTGTACAAGTAGAAAAATAAAATGTCAAAGATAAATGTATGGAGGGCAGTGGCTAATGCAGCTCATGTTACTCGAGTAAACATCTTAAAACTGAAAAGTATTTAGTTCTTACTTATTTTCATATTCAGAGAGAATGAAACTGTATTACTCTAACCACTAGTGTAATGCATGACATACAAAGTTCTGATCAAAGATCTGAAAGAGACATTTTATGTGAACAAAAATACAAATAAAAAAGGGCTCTGGTTTTTTTTTTTGAGCGGGAAGGAGGAAAAAGAAGTCAAGAGATTAAATCTGAATTGTTGGTTGTAGCTCTAGTGGGATGTTTATCATCTAAACTGGAACCTGTATTATGTTCTGCACATTTTAAGGTTTATTTATTAACGCGTTTCTTTCCCAGACAAAAAGAGTAGAGTGATCAGGTTATAGAAACATAAAAATATCAAATTCTAAATTCTTAAATTTATAACTAGAGATTTTTATGAAACCAGCCTGTCGTAAAATGTCACACTCCTTTCACAGTCCGTACCTTCCTGAAGAAGAGAGCGAGTGATCCTGTGCGTCTCGGTCGTCCATTTCCTGCTTGGGTATCAGAGGTCGTGGCAACGGCGGTGGGCCGGCTCGGGGAGGCGGTCAGCAGGAACTGAGCCGTGATGGGAGCAGAAGAATCACACGGCTGAACCGGGATCAGCGTGATGGTGCGGTCAGTGTTATTTGTACCTGCAGATATTCCCACAAACAGATGTTTAGCAGGAAAAACCAACTGCCTGAACGTTTATGTGGACTTATTTTAGCAAAGAAAACTATCAGCATGTCAGGGATAGAGGCTTAAATCCATGTCCAGCATCAGAGCAAGGTACTAACACCGTCTCAGTTTGAGGGTTTGACCTTCTTCTGTATGGAGCCTGAATACTCTGTGTAAAGAAATGCAAATGCGAGTGCTCCAAGTCTCTGTTTTTGGTGGCAGTTCAGCTTATTCAGTGCCAGGGAGGTTTAAAAAAAGAAATAAATAAAAAATATGTAATTTTATCCTGTTTTGGCTGATGATGCAACCATGACAACAGTGAAACAGGAATGGTGTAAGGTGTAAGCACCTGGCAGTGGGATACTCAGGACGGTGGTTTGTGTCCCCTGTCCTGCGATCTTCAGGGTGCTGCTTGTGCCAAAGGTCAGCCTCTTTGCTGGAGAGGACATTGGGCTTAAGCCGGCGTTCAGGCCTGGTGACGGAGCTGGTGGGTCATCACCGAAGAGACGCCGTTTCGCGCTGCCAGCTGCAGGAGAGCTGTACCTGTCATGTACGGACAGTGGAGAGGGAGGCACATCTGGAAGAGGTGAAGAGAAAACAAAAAATTTAACATTAAGTTACAAAAACAACCTGAAGACCCGCCCGGCTTAGAGACCCACCTTTACGGGCGCTGCCCAGGCCGCACCGGAACTCCCTGATGCGGGGATGGATGATGGGTGAGAGGGCCACCATGGGCAGGTGGGACTGCCCTCCACTGACAGAACAAGATCCAGAAGCAGAACCTGAGTCAAGACTGGAGGAAAAATTCACCTGCAGAAAGAGATGAGATTTAGTGTTTATTGAAGACTTCTCCAAACAGAGTTTTACATGTTTTTCTTTCCTACTCTTGGCTCTTCATATCAATTAGAGTGACACACAAGCCCCGCCCACCTGTTAGTTATGAGTTTTAACTGCACTGTGCACTCCCAACTTCTTGAATCTGATATGCTCTTATCTAATACTGTATTATCTAACACTTTCAGATAAAAAAAAATATAGAGAAATTTCATGTTGTGATTCAGACAAATTCATATTTGTGGATGATATGAATGGTAAATGTTTTTTCAGCTTGAAAGTTGACAGTTACAGGAAAAAGTAACATTTCCCCCCCATAGAATTGATGATCTCAGGAGCTGCACCAAGTTCTCAACATGTGATTCATGCAAAGCTGCTCCAGTAGAGTCCAAAGATAAAATTATGAAGCTGGAAATTAGTCTAATAGCTCCCACTTCAGTGATTTCCTATGTAAATCTTTCTTCACTTGCCTCTTGGCCTCATAGTCTTCACCAGTATCGTGTTTATGGGACTGATCCTCTTTATGATGAAAAATTAGACTTGAGACATTTTATGTTTATTAAAATTTCTATTTGAGCCTTTAGAGACAAATTATGCAAAGCACATTGAGAGAGCTTGTATTTCTAGACAGTTTGGAGGTTTTTATCAATATTATAATTATTATGGATTATGTGTGTTCCTCTGACCTCCTCCACTGTGGGAACCTTGTTCCCTGCAGCCTGCAAGGCGCTCCACAGGGCAGAGTCTGTGGTCCACGCCCTGCACTCCAGAACCTGCTCCTCGATGGAGTTCAGATGTTTCACCATGTCTCTGGACAGGCCCTCCTCGGAGCGGATAAACACCTCGATCACCTGTGCACACAAACACACTAAATCAATCCAGAGTGGTGAAAAACCCCAAACTGCTTGGGGAGAGGACAGGTTTTATTTACTCATCAATCCGGAAACAGGAGCTGTTCATTTAAACATCTGTACTGCATCTGGTTTAATGACTTTAAGCAGATGCAACACAGATGGAAATTGATTTTAGTGGTCTAGATATTTTTTTTTTAACCCTTTATTCAGCAAAGGTTGTGTGTGTGTGCGCTCTAAGCATCTATTACCTTAAAGAAGTAGAAAGGAACCTGTTTGAAGACACTGATGATCCAAGGAAAGGTCCTCTGGGAGCTGTAGGCGAACAGCACCACCTCCAGACAGCACGCAATCAGGGAACAGTGGAAGATATCCTGCTCCAGCAAAACCTGACAACACAAACACACCTTTAAACTTGAGCCAGAGACTCTACAGACATCTGTGTTAGCATTCTTCTGTGTTTTCACTACAGTCTGGCTTGCTGCCCGGGTTTTGGGGGTGCTCGATATAAATTAGCTGCGTCTTCGATCCATGCATCTCATCCAGTAGTTGACAACTGCATAATCATTTTTGTGACTGACATATGAGTGAGAAACACTGAGTCTGATGCTACTACGCAACATAAATTTATATTTAATTATACACACAGGTATAATTAGAGATAGAGATACACACAGGCCTCATCAGATGAGGAATGATGTCAGTGTTGTGTGGAGAACAATCTACGTTGAGGTAGGATAGTAAAAATGACTTGTAGTGTGCGAGTGGCTCATTATTGTATGAAACACGCTCTGACTGCTGCTTACGCTCATGTCTCTGCCAGGCAGCCGTTTGGTCTCCTGGACCATGACGTTCTCCAGGATCTTGTAGTAGAGGATCTCAGCCAGCTTTAGACGGTTCTCTGCAAAGTCTGGAACAAAAGACACACATGCATTTATGCTTTACAGGGATTTTGGTGAGTCTGACAGCCAGCATAGTTTAATTAATACTATTTTAATTCATACTGCAGAAAAATGATTCAGTGATCGGAGTAGAAAAGTGCACAACAGTGAGATTCCATTAGTCATCACCAAAAACCTCTCGTCTGTTAAAAACTGAAGACACCTCTCCTCAAACCACCGTCTGTGTTCTACCTATATGAGAGCCAGGCGTGTCCTCCGAGTCGTTGGTGTAATGTTCTTTGAAGGTTTGTCCCAGTGTCTTCACTCGGGTCAGTATGGACTCTGTGGGGTCTCTGGAGCAGGACCTTCAATAAGAACAAAGGCAAAACAAATGTTTTTACATTATTGAGTATAGAAAACACCACAAAGGGACTGAGTGATACTGGTTTCAGGATCATGCGTCTTATGAAAAGCGCATTATTGAAACATTTGTTTCTGTAAACTCTTGTGTTATTCTTGGTTATGTCTCGTGCTTTCATCTACTGGAGGATGTAACTGTGACTCAAAAGAAATGTTCAGAGGATTTTTAATGATTCAGAAATATATGAAAATAGATCCATGGTAACTGAATGCTTACAGTCCATTTCACTAATATTCAAACTCTTATTGTTTTTTTATTTCTCTTAAATGATACATGAATTGCCACTAAATATTAAATACTTAATAATAATATTACTACTACTACTACTACTACTACTACTACTACTACTACTACTACTAAATATTAGCATTTTTTAAAAATCTGTCGGAGAATTCAAGCTTTTCAAGATGAGGATTTTCTCATCTTACATTTCCCTACCAGCAGGCTAATCAGGGTGATGTTGTAGTTATCTACAGTATCATTCAGCTGAGTAATGACACTTTTCATTGTGTAGTACAATGGACCGCAGCTTCAGTGTCTTACACTGCAGCTGATAACAGATATCCTAATCCTCCTGGCACAATCACACCAAAACAAACCGGTTCATTTCCTGCTACACTGAGTTCATTAGCTAGCAACTGGAGTCCAAAATGGTAGAGTAGCAACAGGATGCTGGTGAAACTTACATATGGTAGCATTTCATAAACAATTTAAGAAACTCCTACTACATGCACATGCCCCACATTGCTCTGACCCCTCCCACCACAAGGTTCAAAGACTCTACAGACAAGAGGAGGTGGGGATCAAAGAGTCCTGCTCAAAACACCCTGACAGAAAAACTAAAAATGACTGAGTCAAACAATTTTACTCATAAAACCACAGACTAATGATCATGATTGAATCACTTTTTCCTCTACTCTTTACCCACACTGTTAAATCTACAGTATACAGTCTTTCTCCTCTAATTTAAATGTATTCCTTTCACTATTTTCATGCTCAAGATAAGTACAGTACAGTACGAGTCTGAAGTTTGGACACCCTTTCACTGGTGCTGTAGTTCTGCAAAGACAAAAAAAAAAGAAGAAAAAAGACTGACTTGAAGATCTGCATCAGATGGTCACTGGGGGCCGTCCTTAAACCAGCCACCATGCTCTGCAGCCTGCTGACACTCTGTGTCGCCGAGGAGACGGGAGTGACGAGCAGGTCCTTCTCCTTCAGGTACACTCGTCCGGTCAGAGGGGTGGAGGGGGCGAGAGAGGCAGACTGCGTAGAGAGAGGGAGAGAGTAAATTTCCTTGAAGTAACACCACAATGGTTTTTTTCCATCTCTGTGACTTTTTATTGAGTTCGCTGATCCAGGTTTGAATCAAAGAAGGATCACACTTTTTGTAGTTGAGCTTTAGATGCTGCTTCATATCAGATCTACTCCTTTGTTGGCTGCTTTTAAATCCGTCCTTAAAGACAAAATAGTTCATCCTGGGCTGGGCCCATTTATTCTTTATTTAAACTACATTAAAAGTAAAAGCAATGGTTTTCCTGTTATTTCTTTTATTTTCTTACTAATTTACTAACATTGGTCAATAATTGTTGCTTTAATACAAACTTTATCAAATGGATTTTGCATTCACCTCGCACTTTATTATGAAAACCTCGATTATTTAAATCGAAAATCATTTTTTCTTCTCAGTCTTTTGTTTGATTTACTGGTGACCTGGTATTTTCTGGCAGGTGTTTCAAATCTTTTGTTGGTGACTATACCTTCAGTTTGTGTTGTTAATGGTGTGTGTGTGTGTTTACCTTCTCCACATGTTGCTGCAGCTGTTGGCTGGCAGGTGGCTCCTGAACGATCTTCCTTGGAGTTCCGATCTCCTCGTCGGCATCGGCTCCCAGAAACACTCGCTCATCGAAGTCTCCCACCGTCAGCACATACTCCTCATACTCCCTGTTTATGGCTTTACTGCAAACACACACAAATGTATCTACATTTCTAAAACAGAAAGAAGAGGGAAGAGCACAAGCTGTTTTCTGTTCTCTTGTTGCTCACTTGTTATCGATGAAGTTCTGAGGATCCAAGAGTTCAGTCAAAAGCTCATCGTGACCTTTCAGGATCTGATTGGTGAGAAATGTGAGGTAGCAGCAGATTGGAGGGAAACAAAATTACTGCTTGAAAAAAATAAAAAATAAATAATGAAAAAAGCTGGAAAAGAACTGTAATGATTAAACACATGTATGCATATGTTTAGGATAAATCGAATGCACCTGTTTCTGAAACAGCTTCTGTATGTAAGGTTTGAAGTAGTGCTGCTTGATGCCTTTCGCCTCCACCACCAGCCCGTCGTGGAGCTCGCACAATCTCTCCAACACACATGGAGGAGGCTCATCAGAGGAAATATGTCCATCAGCACGGTACGCAGCAGGCAGACCTGCACACAGACACACAAATAAACCAATGTACTGTGAGGGTACTGGAGCAACAACAGCCTGTTCCAAAAAGCAGGTTTAGTGAAAACTCTGAGCTACTCGATCCTAAGATCACGTTTTCTGCTTGATAAAACCTGATTTTAGATTTTGTGATCCTCAGCTGCTCAGAGTTTATTCCCCAAACTGAATTTCCCGAGAAGCTAATCAGTGTCTCACTGTACAAACGTAAAACACTGATCATATAAAAGGAATTTGTCATGTTGTGATTAATCGCCCTGATGTAACATTTCTGATCACAGCTGTAAAAGTGTAAACAATGATCAGCTGTTTAGGAAACAAAAACCTGAGGAGTTAATCAATGTAGAGCTTTCTGGGAATGCATTCTGGAAAAGATAACACATAACTGAAAGTTTTAAAAATCGGTCTTGCAATTAGTCTAAAAACGCTTTGAGACAACCACACAGGTCCCCCACCTCTGAACGTCGGGTTGATGAGGTCTTTCTTGTTGGCACAGAGCAGAGCATTTCCAAACACCAAGTCCAGACAGCAGAGAAGCAGGTGGTACGAGTTCACCAGGTCATCCCCAATCATACGGAAGTTCCCTTCACAAACAGAAACACACAGTTACATCATGTATCACGGCTGTAATGAATAATAATTATTTTAGTAGCTGTATTTAAAGAAACTAAAACGGAGAAAAAAATTTAGCACATAATTATTTGTGTAATCAGTTATTCGAAAATGTAAAGTGTCCTTTCAAGCTTAGTTGTGGGTACCTTTAGTGTAGACAAACAGAGTCCAGCAGAACTTGAACACATCACTGATGTGACAGGGCAGCCGCCTGCAGACCCAGAGAGAGGACACGGTCATGCTGTGTGTATTGACTAAATGTGACAACAAGAATAAAATCTCTGCATTTCCAGACTGACGGCTGGTGACTAAGTGTGTGGTCAGAGTAACTAACGAGAGGCAGAGATGGTATGAGACAAGATCACAAAAAACAAAACAAAAACGACCCTGTGTCCAAAATCAAATGTGTTCTATCTTTCTGGTATGAGCTGCTGTTGACAGGAGGAAAGCATACCTCTGATAAACAGGAGAGCTTTTCAGAGAATTTGTCCTTTGTGATGTTCGTACGGCTACATGAATTAACCAATTACAGCATTAGTGAAATTTAGGACTAAAAGGACGTCCTGTCCTGTCCGGCCTTAAAGTCACCAATAAAGTGAATTTGTAAAATTCACAGAAGCTTCTGCTAAAGACAGCACGTGTTTAACATGGAACTACGCATTTAAATAAAGTGAAAATCCCTTTATTATTATTGCTCAGGTGCTTTTTTACATGAAGCTCTAAAATACATTCACTACAAAATTAAATCTATAGTAAGCAAATTTATAGCTAAGCAGTGTCGAAAACTGAATGTACTTTAATATAATTTGCACTGCAAAGTCAGGCATCAGAGGGATTTAAAGCAAACACCTTCAAATTTAAATCTTAATACTTTAGATATAGAACTTTACAAGAATGTTAACCAAGGGTTAGACCAGCAGCTCCGTGTGCGTTACCTGTGCTTCCTGCTGCGTGGTTGCCGTGGCGGGTCGGTTCCCTGCGGATTCTGAAACATGTCCATGAAGATGGGTTCAAACTTGCGGAAAATCACAGTGGAGACCTCAAAGTTGCGTTCCAGGCGCTCCATTCGGAGCCTGAAGTCCTGCGAGAGCTTGGACATGTCGGCCCACTTCCTCATCTTGGAGAAGAACTGGATCAGACTGAGGAAGGGACAGAACAAGCAGAAGTGTACATGTTCAAACACAAAACAATGGAGGATAGGCTCCCATTAAAACTTAACTGGAAATGTTGTTTTTAAAGGATTTCAGTTTGTAAATATTCATCGTTTATGGTCACATTTTTCTACAGATAATACAAAAAATCTTTCACTTTCTGTGTTATCTGTAAAGAAGACACTGAATCTGAGTCTTTTCTTCACCATCAGTCATCTAAAACCAGGTAAGTTACCACCTCATAATTTATTCGGCACACTGATGTTTTCACTGCTTTCTCAGTTACTACATTTTTCTTAAACTGCACAGTCAGGTCGCGCAGAGCTGACAGAGATTCACCTGAGTTTCGAGGAGCGAAGAATCCTGGTCAGCGAGACACAGTTTCCCTCCATCAGCCCTTTGCCCACTGTGGGAGTGGACCCCTTCCTGCAGGCTGAATACAGCGAACATGCCAGCCAGTGTACAACATCTCCCTGCAGAGAAACAGCAACACAACATTTACACATCTGTCTTTGATACATAACATAAACAGAAAGCTTTGTGATCAAACAGCTGCGTGATGCACAATCATATTCATCTTTTTAGTCAAGAAACATTAAACTGATCAGAAAACACTTTGCTGTTACAGCTTCAGAAATATGAATTAGGAATCAACATTATACTTATAAGAGTGTGTCTGTGTTTTTTAAAAATATCCTTTCCTGCTTTTATCCATGTTTTAATTTTTGGATTCTACTTAAGTTTTAATAATAATAATAATAATAATAAATTTTATTTAAAAGCACCTTTCAAAACACTCAAGGACACTTTACAGAACAAATAAGACAAGCATAAAAACAGGAAATGAACACAATAATGAAATAAAGTTTAAGAGCATGGAGTAGTTACACAGAGTAGGCTATCTTTGCATGACTCACGGTTTCAAATAATTCCCATTTATTGTTTTTCATTTTATTTTTCAATAAACAACATTGCCATGAATTTTATGCATTTAAGTGAATAAAAAAAATCTAAAATTTCATCAGTGGTGCATCCCTATACCACAAGCACTCTTTAAATTACTGCACAGCTTTACCCACCCACACTAGTATACAAGAACAGGCTTGACATAATCAAGTCAAGCGTCTTTATGTTTATAAAAAAAATTTCATGACCAAGGTCAGTGGTAACAATACGTTTCCCCCTTTTTGTTATTCAGTCCAAACCCTGATATGACCAAAGACTGTGGTTCTGGACAGTAGTTACATTCAATAAATAAAATAATTATGATTACTCTAGTGTCTACTTTATCAGAAATCACAGCAACCCAAACAATAAACAACATATGACAACAACAGCTCAACAAAATAAATGCCAAATAAATCTATATACGCTGTCTTTAGTCTCTCATCTATTTTTAGTTTATTATATTGTATATATTTAGCTTGATCCAGCTGATACCTGCTGTAGCACTAAAGCTTCCCTTGGACATTAAGTATTTTTGCATTACAGAGGCTGAAACCAGGGGTGACTCTGACACAGGAATAAATCAGCACGATCATTTTACTGGCAATATGATTAGTTCATAAACAGTGGCGATCGACTAACCGCTGCAACTCCAGCGTGGAAAGTAAAAACAGAGCCCTTTAACTGCTGTATTCGTGTCCGGGTCTAGCATTCACTACACATGAAAATTAATCTACAGTAATGAGCTTAGCAGGAGTCTGACTCAATAAACAGCTACTGACTATTTAGAGGACATTATTCACCTCCAGAGTATATGTATTCCATATGGCAGTAAAGTTGTCCATAGCTTCTGTGGCCGTCTGTTCGTCCATGTTCAGCTCCTGACACAACGTCTCCAGACTCCTCCGCACCGAGCTCTCCTCCATCCTGCTCGACTCCGAATCCGAAGACTCTTCGCCCCGCATCCGCGACAGGTATAATTTCAACCTGAGTTCAAATCTAAAAACCAAAACACAGCGCCCCTCTTTCCCACTGCCAAACAACACAGCCCACCAACTTGTTCAGGACACAACAACTTCCGTTATCAGTCCCCCACAATGCAGCGCGTTGGCGCGAAAACTTCACGACCTGGACCAATCAGAGGCGAGGGGAGCGTCGGTCCTGAGCTGTTCGCCCAACCCCCTGCCACAAGCTGAAAGCTCGTGTTCAGCAGACGCTCTGGCTCTTTGCTTTCAGCAAATTAATGTTCAATTAATTTATTTTACATTTTGATTATTGGTAGTGATGGGTAGATGAGGCCTCGTGAAGCGTTTCAGCACATTCCCCAAACTGTATCGATACTGAGTCGACACAGTGTTGCTGTTTTGCTCCATACTGTCACCTGCTGGACCTTAAGTATCATTGCAGGCAACTTGCTTGAGACTCACAACAGGCACTGATTCAATGACCTAGTCATACTTGTATACACTGTAAGGTATTGTACTTTCCATGGAATCATTTTATATTTTTTACATTGCAAATATTGTAGACATCTTTAAAATATATTGTGAATGACATTAAGTGAAAATTAAAATGAAGGTATTGTGAATGTAACATTACCCATTTAAATGTATTCGACTCAGAGTTTATTATAAATTTCTATTCAGAAAAATAAGTTCATCCAATGTTTTTGCATTCAGTCCATTGCGTTTTTGGACACCATTTCCTCAGCTCATAGGGCACAGATGGAGCTGGGGTACACAAAAACTGTAAACCCAGGTGGAAAAGGTTCGGATAAGATGTCTTCCTATTTCCCCAGTACGTTAAAGGATCCTCTGATCTTGGAATGTTTCTCTCCAACACTTTCCACAATACTAAGGGATTGTCTTTTATAAAAAAATAAAAAAAATAAAAAAATTCAGGACTGCCTGGTCAAAAACAGTCTTCCTAGATGCTTGATTTCAAAATAATAAAACATAATGAAAAAAAAAAATGATGATAATGCTGCTCAATGTCTATATAGGCCTACCTGTGTTATTCTCGGTGTGTTTGTCTCCTCATTTTCATGTTTGGCTCTGTAATGCATTGAGGAGGTGCTTTTGTTTGTGTAAGAAAGCTCCGCAGAACAGATGCGACATTTAACCTGCATAAAATGAAATAATTTACACAAATATAAATAATTTACACTGCAGGTCACATTGCTGTTTTTCCTGATAGATTACACTGAAACAAAGACAGCCAGTTACCTTATTTGCAGTTAAAAGATCGAAATGATCCCACACAGCAGAAACTTTTCTTTTTCTTTTGGGCTCCATTTTTTATGGAGAGATGTGTATTATCTGTTTCTTTGCGAGAGTAATTTTGTTTTTGTTTTTTGGTGGCGACTCATTCCGTTGACAGATGCAGATGTGGTACCTTTTAAACACAGTTTGGAGCGTTGGCAATGAGCGATACAGCAGCTGTATTGATCACGTGACTTTTTCTTAAAGCGACACACGCACCGATACAGGTTTCGCTCTGTGAGCTTGATACATGCGCCGGTTGGTCAGTGTTGCTGGACCCATCACTAATTATTGGTATTTAAATGAACACCAGCAAAGCTATTAAATACGGAATAGAAAATAGAAAACGTTTTTGCGTTCCATTCCACGCCCCCGGAAGTTTAATGTAGGACTGAAAGGATCCTCAATTTAAAATATTGGAAAGATTGTAAAACAGTCAAAAACGTAGCCCTTGTAATAACCGGAAATTTTGACTTATGGGTGGCTTTTTTGTGATTCTAACTATGCATTTTTAATGTGTTGGATAACATTTATATTAAATTGAATGCAGTAATAAAATAGTGACGTCTGCGTGTTTAAAATACGTATTGTGGCAGAACTTCCTTCTATTACTTTGAATCAAACTTTTAACTGCTAGAAGTCGCGACCCTAAACTGGATGAAGCTTGATGGATAGATTGAAAGGTATGTAGTTGTTTGTTTTACTTTGCCATGGGACAAACCTCTAACCTCAGCAGGGGCTCTGGTATTTTCAGATACTGTATATTGTTAACTCTGGGTATATTCATTTTAACTGCTAGTGCATGCTCATGCTGTAATATTGTTTGGTCTTTTGTAACAGTGATGCTTAATTACATTGAAAAAGGGGAAGATGAGGCTGACTGTATAAAAATAGCACATTTTTGTGGGTCCTCTGAAATGCTGAGTCTGTGTGTAGAAACGCGACAGAGACATCAATATAAATAAATCAAATGTGATGCATGATTAGCATGGTGTTTGTTATACTTTGAATTTTTTTTTTTGCCTTTACAGAAGTTTCAGAAACAGGAAAGAATAAAAACTCACGAACATTTTTGTTTATGATCACTTTATTTTTAAAAGCAACGAAAAAGTAACTTAGCCCCCTCAAACTAAACCACTTCTGTAGATAAAGAAAGTTAATGTTCTTTATAGTAGCATCAAAAAAAATCTCTTTATAACCAGCTATCCTAAACTCTAAACTCCAATAGTCGTATGACCTTATAATCTCAGTAGATATTAGACAGTAAATAACACAGCACTCTACCACAGTGGTTATCAAAACCCCATATGATTAAAGCTAGACTACTCAGCACACTAAACTAAACACATTTAAATCCTTAACAGTATTAGAAACTAACAACAAACCCCAGCACTACTCCCACTCGGTTTTGTCATTTACATAATTTGTGTTTCCATTATTCTAAGTAAAGTAATGAAATGTCCCGTGGAGCCCCTCACACATTTAGAGACAGCTTTTAGAAATCACAGCGGACCAGTGAGTGTGCTCTCAGTGAATGCTGTATCTGCTGTTATCTCTGGTCTCAATTGTCTTTATCAGCAGCTTCGGGGCAGGAGAGCTGGAGGCACTTTGGTAGCCATTAGTGCTTTTAGTACTTGAAGAGAAACCTGAAGAAAAACACATGAAGATGTGTCAGACAGAATTTCATAAAATACAAATTCTGTCTTTATTAATGTGACCTCTCAGTCCAGAGCATCAAGGGCTTAGTCATATAAAAACATTCATATTCATACACTAAACTGCCTTAGTGTTTGACACTTACTGTAGTTGGAGATGGGCTGGATGTTGAGGATAGACTGTTGTCCAAGTCTGCAGAGGCAAAAAAGAAACAAAGAAAAGAAAAATAGGTTATTTATATTTCACTTTTGTGGACTCTTTAACTCTTCTGTTCCATCCTGGGCTGTAACCATGTGGTGTCACATTCCCACCCGTAGAGGGCACTCTACCCTAACATTAACCTAAATTCTGTTTCATTTCATCCTGGTGTAGTTCTCACTGATGTCTCGCTCTGTGGGGTATGATAGCCCCGTTGACCTTGAATTAGATACGCAGAAGAAAATGGGTGGATGAATAAATCATGATAAATCTCCGGCTTCATCTGGGGAACAAAGAGCTGCAAAATGGCTTATCAGCAAAAAGTATAAAAGTCATGAGCACCACAAAGGTTTATCTGGCATTAGCAGAAAGAGCTGAACCTTACAGCATTCACACAATAAAGACAAACAGGAAGTAGTTGTTAGCAATACAAAAAACTTTCCATTGGAATCAGATCCTTGTCTGTTTCCACTGTTTCTAATTATTAATTTAAGATTTAAACTACATTATTATTATTGTGGCACACCGACAAATTAAAAAATGTTATTTATTGCAGCATTTTCTTTGTATTCAGAGGTTTTCTGAGGGGAAATTTGGGTGTAGGAACAAAAACAGAGTATATAAAAATTCCAAAAAGAATTTAGCTCCCTGCTTCATTCACTCGTCTACAGCAACGTCACATTTTTGTGAAGCTGTTTAATTTACAAAATTATCATATGAATATTTGTATCCATAATATCAATTTTTAATTTAATCACTCTTAGTCTCAGTGCCAGTATGTCACTGCCAATCTCATTTCAGTAAATCAAACATCGAACTAAAATTACCCTAATGATGGTCATAATGGTGAAAGTCAGGCTCAAGGATACACACATCCATGCATACTCCATCCATGAGTATACATAAATAAAGAAATGGTTTATGAAGTAGTTTACATTTAGTCAGAGTCAGCAAACATAAGATTATGCAAGTAACATTGTACATAAGCCCCTTGCAATTTATTCTTATTGGATTGGAAGGATGTATATTCTGGTGAACTCTCTGCAGTGGTAGAGTCTGAATGGAATAACCATAACCACCTGTCCTCCTCTCCTTCCAGCAGCTTCCTGTAGGTGGCGATCTCAATGTCCAGAGCCAGTTTCAAGTTCATCAGGTCCTGCAGGTGAAGACAGAATCAGTTTCACTTCACATAATTTCATTTCACTTATGTTCTATGTTTTCGTGTCTATCCTTTGTTTCTACTTATAGTTTATATTTTCCATCCATGTCTTCTCCTGACTCACCTGATACTCCCGGAGCTGTCGAGCCATATCCTGTTTGGATCTCTGCAGAGCTTCCTCCAGGTCTCTGATCCGAGCTTTGGCTTCTTTCACAGCAAGCTCTCCACGCTCCTCCGCCTCAGCCAGCTGGTTCTCCAGACTGGCACGCTGAAGAGAGGAAGGGAACAAGAGATCATCCATGAGGGACCTGAAGTGCATTTTTCTGAGTTTAATGTTGCTTCCATGTCTACCTGTGCTTTGACTGCTTCTATCTCGCTCTGCAGGCGGCTGATCAGTCGGTTGATCTCGGCGATGTCTCCCTTCACGATGCGAAGCTCGTCCCCAAACTGGCTGGCCTGGACTGACATTTGGTCAAACTGCAAATAGAATAGCTGTGAATGGTACGAGGACCGCAAAAGAAAATTATTTCACGTAAAGGAGGGAATCGTGGACGTGCAGTGTTAGCACTGAAGATTATGCCTGGGACCTTTCTGTGTGATGTTTGCCTGTTTTTCCTGTGCGTGTGTGGGTTCTGTCCAGGTACTGTGTCCAAAGACACAGGTGTGAATTGTCTCTTTTTTGTGTTAGCCCGCAATAGACTGATGACCTCTCTGGGTGTACCCCGCCTTTCCACCTTGAAGTGGATACATGGATGGATGGACTACAGACTGCTCTAAACACTTAGTTTCAGACTATTTTCAACCATCGGTTCTGCAGGATGTCAGTGAGCTAATGCTCCTGATGTTTTCATCTCAGACACAGAAGCTTTGTGTGGGGCAGCCAGTCAGGAGAAAGTTGTCTTAAAGGGAGAAGAGCTAAAACAGTTACTTTGAGTCCTGGAAAAGCTACTCTTGTACAGTTCAAAATCTAGAACTGGAGCGTGACAGGACACATGTTTATGCAGGGGAACTCTGACAACCGCTTAAATAAGTGACTGTAAAGCGCTTGTGTTGTTAGCGTCGCTCCTTTGGTTCAGGGATCATCCTGTTTTCTCTCCTTTACCTTATTCTTGTACCAGGCCTCTGCTTCCTCTCGACTGCGGGCTGCAATCTCCTCATACTGAGATTTGACCTCAGCTACGATCTGCTCCATGTTCAGACTGCGGCTGTTGTCCATCTGCACCACAACTGAAGTATCTTTAATGCTCGCCTGCAGCTCACGCAGCTCCTGGTCAAGTTGAGGGAAATCAAAGAGAAGCAGTCAGTATAAAAACCCGCAAGATCAACTATTGTCTCATGCATCTTCCTGCACTTGTGCCACCCCATGGGAAAAAAGATGATAAAAATATTTTACGTGTTGCTAATATGCTCAGCATATGGAATCACAATGTTAACACACACACACACTGCATGTCTGGGCCTGTTTCAGTGATACTTCAGTGGTCTGAAAATCTCTCTGGTGACTTAGTGTGTTTTATTTTTATTAATTTAATTTAATTTATTATGAAGATCTCTAGAGAAGTCAGTTGACAACAACATCAACAACAACAAATGTTTCCGCAGGTTGGCATAAAAAGCATTTCAAAGGCAGACAGTGTTTTGAAGTTGACTCTCCAGTGAGTCATGATATAAAACAGAACAATGAACAAAGTGGAAATTGTAGCTTTATCCGAGAAACAACTGGAAACCAGAAAGGAAGAGTGTGCACATCCAGGATTACGCCAAGCACGAGGACCTTTGTTTACCTCCTCATACGCGTTACGCAGGAAGTTTATTTCATCAGTCAAAGCTCCGACTTTATCCTCCAGATCAGCCTTGACCAAATAGGCTGAATCTACATCCTAAAACACACAGGGAAACACACAACTGATTAGAAGACACAGATTTTTGTGTTCAAAAACCCCCTGCACTTGGAGGAAATACTCCTGTTTGAGTCATCAGGAAGAACAATGAACAGGATTTTGTTTATTCAGATTAAAAAATCTTTGAAGGTATGTGTGCAGACACCAAAATAATGTATTTTGGCTTCTTTTAAAGAGCAATTTGAGACCCAAAGTTGGAGCCAGAAAAATTGGGAAACTTATAGTACGAAGTCAGAAATCTTTGCTGAGATTACTGTAATGTCTAAGAAATGACACAAGATGCTGCTCGCACAGCTGCACAGGAAAGTTGCTAAATTATTTATGGATTCTGCGTGTGAGAATACAGGAGAGAAAATCTGGACAATGAGGAAGGACAATAGAGGGGCTTGTATTACTCGCCACACCTGTATGAATGAACATGAACGGATGTGTCTAAATGCCAACCTTTTTTAAGATAACAAAGTCGTTCTCCAGGTTGTTTCTCTTGTTAATTTCATCTTCATATCTGTGACAGGGAGAGAACAGGGTATTTTATTACAATAAAACATACACCTGTGTATGTCTGTGTAGGTTCTCAGCCATGCAGGTCGTACACCTGAGCTGAAAACTCTAAAGTGTCATTTTTTACTTGTGCTTGTAGTCCTCTACCAGACCCTGCATGTTTCTCAGCTCCCCATCCAGCTTAGTTTTGTCATTGTTGACCAGGTCCATCTGGCGCCTCAGACCTGCCATGTAGGCCTCAAACAGGGGTTCCACATTGGATCGGCTGACCCCCTGACCCTGCAGCAGCTCCAGTTTTGTCTCAAGCATCTTATTCTGCTGCTCCAGATACCGTACCTGGTGAGGGAAGAAGACCCAGATCATTTAGCATTTTCAAAGACACGGTGAAGGTTTGTCATAATGCACTTTTTGTTTCTGATCATCAGGATTGAAGGAACAGCTAGAAAACAAAAGTGACTCTATTATAAGATGTTTATCAACATAACAACTCTTGGAAAGTCTAGAGCTATGTCATTATGTCGTTTGGGCCGATTCAGTCAGGTCTTCCAGTGGGCATCTTATTAGTGGAGCTTTCATTACTCCAAGACGGGCACCAGCTATCCTCTAATTACAGTCTCTGAACTGGACCCATATGTCTGTGCCGTTGATTCCTTTTGGTTAAATAGACCAGTAGCACTCCACCCTTTCGACCAATTTGGGTCACTTCTGCCCCCCCCCAAAACAACAACAACAACAACAACAACAACAAATAAACAAACAAACAAATAAACAAAAAACAAAACAGCATGGCAGCAGCCAACAGTCCAGAAAACATTGGTGGCTTCTCTTCCAAAATCCAACTTTTAGTCCAGTTAATTTTGGTGCAGTGGCCAAACTACAACTGCTACAACTTCTATGTTCATACGTAAGCCACCTTTCTTCATAGATGGCAGAACTCTGCACTGATCATTGAATTTAAACTCTTTTAAAGTCACTATTACCCCCAGTGTTTCTTAACATTTGGAAAATGGCTATTACAGCACATAGGTGGATTGTATGGCTCATTGCTCTTTTGTAATGTATTGCCTCATTGCTGTATTACGACACTGTTGTTTCTGCTGACAATAAATTTTTGTTTTTCTCCTTGTTTTTCACAATCTTCAGAAAAATGCTTTCAGTTAATAAACAGAGTTTTTGCTTTTTTCTTAAATAATTTCTGCGTCTACATTGAATCTCTTTAGATTTTCAACTAACTGCTTATTGTTATTAAGAAAATAACCATCTGTTTAACCAATAAAGACTGCAATCATCAGCAGCAGCTCCAGAATAAGGCACAGAGGAATGCCACAACTCCAGCAGATAACCAGCTCGAGCTCAGTGTCAACACCTGAATATATTCCAGCCCTGTACTTGCCCGGCTCGTGTTTCTTACCTGCAGCCAGGTACATCCAGCGCCTATTATACCTTCCAACACAAAGCCCGTGTTCTGTTCATGACAGAATAACCTCCCTCTGAGACACAACCATACCGTGTCTAGTCTGATCTATCAGGTTACAAATTGAACTCAATGGGACGGAAATGGGACAGATAGCTTGAATATCCAGCATCCCAGTGCCATACATTCATGCAGTAAATGACCATTTAATCTCAGATGTTTAACTCCAACTTTGATGTTCACTGACGTGCAGCTTTAACTGGAGTCATTGTCTTACAACAAGTGAGACGTTGTCTTCCTGATGCATTTCACTAATTACTTCTCTGCATGAGAGAAGCAGCTCACTAATGTTTAATTTAAACAGTTCCTCCTAAGTAGGATTGGATTATAGTCGTCACTGCAAGGTCTGTTTATTTATCAATTCACTCAACTTTGCATTTTAGTAATTGTCGTCATCAGTAAGGGGGTCATTTTACAACATCCAGATTTTAATCCCAGGTTAAGCAGAAATCCAATCTTGGATAAATGAACAAAGAGGGGAAAACTGGGCTAGACATCTTTTAAAAGCCAGGTTGACTCTCATGAGCTTCTGCAACTGAAGGTCTCTAAGGACAAGGACTCTTTGTGTGGGGGAAGTCACATAAACCATCTCATTTACGGAGACGAATGGACGGTGTTTCCAAATGTTTTCTATGAACATTCACAATATTTTGTCTTATTCGGTGGATAGACTGTCTGGTTTTATTTTACAGCTCTGCAGAACTGCACACACAAAATATCAAATAAACCCCAAAAGCATTTAAAATGAAGATGTTTTGGTGATCTGTTAGTTTTTTAGCTACACACACACATTTACACACTTTTAGCTACTTCAAGAGGTATTCAATCATTACCTTAGATTTGTCATTGATGTCATTGTTATTGATGTCTTCATTGAACTGAATAAAAATTCTTATTATTAATATGTTTTATTTACTAATTGAATCTTCACAAAAATATTTGCATATTTTCTTTAAATGTGCACAAAAGTAATAGAGGTACAGGACATCAGAGAATATCAAAGATTGTTAACAACCTTTCTGATAAACATTGTCTTTGGGAAACTATGTCAACATTCACATAGCTCAAAAAAACAGGAGGTTTATTTTGCACATTTGGACAAACAGGCTTCCGTCCAGCTCAGCTCTCTGTTTCTGTACGCCTGAAGTGAATCTCCGCTGATGTGAGAAGCCAACAAAGCCTCTATTGTGAAAGTGTTACCTACTCCGTGAGAAAGCAGAGATGTTCCCTAAGTAGGGTATCGATGTCCAGTGATATCACAGGGCCGATTGCTCCTTCTGTGGGAAATGTGTGCAGCCTGTGTCCTTCAGGAACTTCAACAAGGCATCTTCTCATTCACATTTACTCCCCTATTTGCTTTTTCATAACACTTAGAATAGAAACTTAGGGTCCTATATATGCTGCCCATGATAATGTTATTTCTACCTTCAATTAGCCAACAAGACTGCAGCTTTTTCATAACATGTCTAATAAATCCACAGAATCATAAATGCACAATCTTGATATCCTGGGCATGTCAAAGTTCATCTGCATTGTTCATAAACAAGAATTTTACAAATAGCTGCAAAGGCCACGATGATGCAACCTTGAAACAGCTTTTCCACAAATTTATTTTTTTTAAAAATGTGTAAGTGATTACTGCTGCCAGCCCAATAATGTTTGACCATCTCCTATAAATGTTCTCCTGTAAATTTGGACAAAGCAAACAGCAAGAAGAAGAGACTGATCTGAACTTTAGACTGTCAGGGTCCTGGGTCTCCTGACCCAGCGTTTTTAGTTCTTTGTGATGTTTGTATTATTGTACTTGTGTGAGTTATTCTATGGTTTCTAGTTTCGATCCCTTGCCCTTCATGTTTCTCTGTGTCCCCTCTGTTCTGTGTAAGTCTGTGTCTGCATGTTTGAGTTCCCCTCTGTGTCTTTCGGTTCTTAGAGTCCTCTGGCTTATGGTTTATGTCTCTGTGTTTCTTAGTTGCTGTCTCCACTGTGTCAAGTTTGCATCTCTGTGTGATCCTTCCTGTTTTACTTTGAAGGTCCGTGTCTTATGTGAATGTGTCCTGCTTTGCTTGTCTCGTCAGTCCTGATTTCTCCCAGGTGTGCCCTCCTTCTGTGTCTCATTCCCCTCGTTACTCCCCAGTGTATTTAAACCCTGTGTTTCTCTGAGTCAGTGTTGTGTTGTCCCTCATGCTGTGTGGATCTCCCTGTGTCTCTCTGTGAGTGCTTAGTTTGTTGTTTCCCAGTTTAGTTTGTCCTGTCCTACCAGCAAATAAAGCTGTTATTTTTGAGTTCATCCCCTGAGTCTGTGAGTCTTGCATTTTGGGTCCAACTCCTGCCTGCCGCACAGCGATTCATGACATAGACTGAACACAATAAATAAGAAAAGGCTTAAAAAATTCTAACTACAAATTAATGGAAATAAATGCACAATATTGGTGAGAAAAGGGATGAGTCACAAATACACAATATGAAAAGTAAATGTCATTTAAAAACTTGAATGAAATGTAAAATTGTAAAATATACGCAACTAATGCGGAACCTGGCTGAACGCTTTATATCTTTATAACAGTTCTTTGAGCTGGACAGTGTTATGTTCCTCTGCTGCATGAAAAACAAGTGCAAACTGAACTTGCTGTAGATAATTAGTTTGAAATTGGAATAAAACAGTAGCTTAATTTCCTTTTACATTGAGTCAGTTTTTCATTCAAACTGAAGAAGTTACAGCTGAAGCTGCTCGAGCTTTTTAGTCCCTGTAGTACCACTCTGAAGTAATCTAAACCTAAAGATGCATTTTTATACTTTACAGCTGTGTGATGTTTAGATAAGAGGAATGATAAAACTTTGAAAACTATAATGTATATTTTCTTCATAAATGATCAAAATACTTAGTAATAATTTCTGAACCAGCCTCAGCAGAGGTCTCTTTACCTTATCTATGAAGGTTGCAAAGCGGTTGTTGAGGCTCTTGATCTGCTCCTTCTCGTGGGCTCGGCTCATGGACAGGTTTGGATCGATCTCCAGGTTAAGAGGAGCCAGCAGGCTCTTGTTGACGGACAGGGATGCCAGCGGAGCCCCCAGGCCGTGGTGATGCCCGTTGGTGCCCGCATACAGAGAGCTGCTGCTGAGGGAGATGCCACTGAAACCTCCCTGAACTGGACCGAAACCACTCAGCCTCCTGGAGCCGCTGCTGCTCCGAACTGAGTTACTGGAGCTGATTCGCTTGGTACGACTCAGACTCATGATGAAGCGAGATGGAGGATTAGATGAAAAACAGCTGATAAATGTTTGGATTGGCTGGAGATGACAGAGAGAGATGATGAAATTTGAATTGGACTGAGCAGAAAATGGACGACAGAAGCAGAAAGAGAAGTGAAACAGGTGAGTGCAGGATGTCTGAACACAGTAAGGTGTCTCAGGTGTCTCATGACCATTTAAACCTCCCCAGGGTGGAGTCAGAAGAGGAGGAGAGAAGCAGGGACGCAACAGAGCTGTGGTGTAATATATCCAGTGTTTACAATTTAAGGCCAAAAAACTACAGCATTTTAACAATCTAAAGAGGAGATGAGACTTTGGACAAATTGTGAACTTCCCCTTTTGCTGATGTGACACACTGAAGACAAAAGGTCAATCTTCATGTTTTTGTGTCTGTTTTCCTCCTTTTTTTCTCACTTTATTGCCTCGAGAAGGTTAACTGACCTGAGAACATGTTGGTGTTTCTATAGTTTCAGTGGCCCAAACATTGCTAATGCAGCAAGCCAGTTGTACGTGTTAAAGTGTTGATCTCTAATGTAGTTTTCTTCTTTGACTTACTACTTCAAATTAAATATATAATTTGGGTCAATTATGAGATTTATTGAAAATAATTTAGACAGCTGTTTGTTCTAGTTTCATAACTGGTGGGAACGTTAACTCGGCTGTTCAAACTGTGGTGTCAGTGGTTTGTCAAGTCACATTTCAGACGTAGAAAGAGGTCATCGGTTGGAACATAGAGCAACACTGAAGTACATTGCTGTGTTCTGTGGTCTTCTAAACCTGCTCAATATAAGCGACACGTGGTGACTTTTACAGAAAGACAAGCAGAAAGGATGGTAGCCTCATGCATCTTGCTGCACCGTGCATGAGCATCTTCACTTTGCTGCGATCCTTCCTGGCTGAGGACCTCTATAACATTATTACATCAGTACTTATCATCAAAGTATAAACTATTAGCAGACAGACAGGAGTGCTGGATCGATATTTTTAGAACTGAACCTTTTGTGAAAGTAGAAATATCTCATGAAGAAAACACCTAAAATTCACAGAAAAAAAACGTTTGTAGTCAATATCTGAAAGTGAAATTAAAATATCAATGAAAAAATTAGTGAGTTGGCAGAAAAACTGGGTAAAGTTTGTATGTTCGGTCAACCAAGTTTTCTCATAGATATTAACCTGAAAATAGTGGAGCCTGGAATTCATTTCCATTCACTTTTAGTACCAAATCACAAAAACAGGATATTGGAACATAAAAGCCCTGAACCTTTATAAGAAAAGACACCTAAACAATGAAACAATCTTCTGTCAGCACCTGGTGACAGTGGGAAGGAAAAACACTTTTAACAAGAAGAAACCTGCAGCAGATCCTGGATCAGGGAGGGCCAACCATTTGCTGTGAGCAGCTGAGAGATGAGAAGAAAGAGAAAAGGAAGCACAGGACGACCGGCTGACCTTTTCATATGCCACTCTAACTCCTCTGTGTCACACATTTTAGCCAAAGTGGTTGGTAAGAAAAACCTAATTTGTTAACATGATCGCAGAAGTTACATAAGGTTACTTGGATACTTGCTTATGCTAGCTCTGTTTCCACAGATGCACAGATTTTAACTGATTTCAAAGCAGTGAGGCAGAACCAGCGGCATCTTGTTCAGCCCTCTGGCCTCACAGATAGAATAAATAAAACAGTCTGTAAGCTAAACACAGCTTATTATGATCTAAGCAGCTTACAGGCTGGAAAAAATAAAGTCCCATCGATTTTGCCGTTGCTGCTGACCTCCAGAAGGTTGCCCCAATCCCCAACGATGCATGGCTAAAGGTAGGACTCCAGCTTTTGCTGGCCAACCCTGTCAGTTTGTGTGTCCAGAGTGACTCAGTCACAGTCACCACGGCTGGTGTCGCATCCTGCCACCTGTTTTGTTCACCTCCAGCCTTGCCTCCAGAAGGTCACCGTTACTGCTGATGCCAGCCCTCTGTCAAACCATTGTCTCCTCCCACTTCTTCGCCAGTCTCCAGAAGAGTCCTGTTTCTTCTCCCAACGCCAGCCTCCAGAGTTCCTCTATTTCAGTCACTGGCAAGCTGGTTAGCTTCCAGATTACTTGATCTCACTGTTGGCCTCTGCAGGTGAGCGTCTTGGATTGATTTTTGAGTTTCTAAGTAACAGCCATAAAGCTCAGTCCTTTAGTTAATGCCTTGGGTCCTCCTGTGCCTGCCACACAGATGTACCCGACACTTTCCTGTTTAGCTCACTTCTTTGTGGTCACACTGAATAAAACATTAAGCTTATTTTATAAATTTCGTCATGCGATGTTTAAGGAAGGAGGATTGTCAGTGTTAAGCTCATTGGCTAATGACTTGTGACTGACAAGTTGAGCAGACCTAATTTTTTTTAATCTTGAAATGTCAAATCAAGATTTCAGAAAATTGTGGTGGTTACATCTGCTTTTAATGCTGTCTGTGTTTAGCACCATGGTTTCCTGACAGTTTTTCACGAGGCCAGAGGTGTATCCACAATGCACCTGTGCAAAAACCCTAAAAAACATGCTAGACTCTAAGTTTGACAAGCTCCAGGCTGTGTTGAGAGGATACAGGCATGCTCATGACAAAACCCTTAACTCTGCTGCTGGAAACTGTGGTTTAGATTCGGTTTAAGTGTTGCATCATGGCGCTCTGCACCAAAGAACATTTCTTTGTTCTGTTTTTTTTTAAACATCCTTCACAGCCACCTTAAATTCATTTGATGTGGCTACATATCTGGTGGTATGCATGAAGAGAGCAAAACCTCTACATGCCCATCCCCTTTGACAAAGTTCTTATTTCCACAACCTCACTTATCAGAAAACACCAATCAGATTGTGATCTGATTATGATCATGCTGAGTCATTCTGTGTGGTTGTGTTTGCTCAGAGTTTCATTTTAAATGCTGCTCTCACCTTTTGTAATGTTTCCAGTTACACCCTTTTTAATTTAGCTTTTGTTTCCCATGTTTTGTCCAAAAAGCATGCAAAAAGGACAATGCAGATTTTTTCTTTTTTACATTGCTTTAAAAGACAAATGCGCTTATTGAACATGTAGATAGTTACACTGATTTAAAAAAAAATCCCTATAAACATAAAAAATGTCCAAATCAGCATCTACATTTTTCACATTGATACTAGTACATAATAATAACAGACTGGTTAAGAATGTTTGACTGCAATTCTTTTGGTAAATGCTACTTTCATGCATCATATATTACTCTATTCCACAGTATTCCAACTTCCTTATGTGTTCTTATTATCTGAAAATTATTTACAAATACCCGACTTCATTTTCACATTTCATAAACAAGAAAGTCTTCGAACCAACAGCCAATAAGATCACTGCCTCATTGCCCTTTTCAACATGCAGATTACTTACTGAAATAAATAAGCATTGTTGTTTGTTTATATTGTTGACTGATTCAATGACTTTAAGCGTTTTATCAGAACAGAAGCTGTAAGAAACTGCAAGAGAGCAAAGAGTCAAACCTAAAGCTTGTGTGTGTGGCTTTTCTTACTCATCATCTACTCATCTAGCACTGGGTTTATCGTTGCCGTGATAGCAACCCACAAACAGGCTGAAGGTTTAAGTTTTTCATTTTGAAAGCCTGGAGAGGCATTTAAACGAAAAACACTCAATAGATGCACGAGCGCCTCATATGATGCTCTTTCCAGGCAGCACAACCACAGGCGTTGTATTTACTGAAACATTAGTATGGTCTGTGATGCCTCACAGTTTGACTGACCGCACAGGCTCATCATAGCGATCCTTTTAAAGGTTGCACTCATGCAGAAACGATATAAGTAAGAAGTCAAGGGCAAGCAGATGAAAACCACAGTCTGAATATCAGGGTCTGACTCAACACCTCAAAGACGAAAGGCTGAAAAGATGATGCATGCTGTGCACGATCTTATGTTTCTCTATCTTCTAACATGTCTTGGACAAAATGGTAAGATTGCAAAATGTAATTACTTATCTATTGAAAAAATCCTACATTAACTTTTTTCCTCTCACTCTTGCAGGGCATGGAAGTGAAATCATAAATGGCAAAAATGTCCCACAGAACTCAATGCAGTATATGGCTTCTGTGCAGGTCAATGGAAAACACGTATGTGGAGGATTTCTTGTCAGTGAAGACTTTGTGCTCACGGCTGCACATTGTTACAAAAAGTAAGTGAACAAGCTGTGTACTTTTATTTGTTTTTCTCCAAAAACCCAGCTAACACCTACTTAATATTCACTCGCTCAGTTCTCCTATGGAGGTTGTAATTGGAACCCACAACCTGAAGAAGGTTAATAACAACAAAATGAGATACAGTGTAAAGACATGCAAGCACCCACAATATGACAAAGTTGTATCTGGTAATGACATCATGCTCCTCAAAGTAAGTAAATATCTTTGAATGTGAATCATTACAGTCACAATCAAAAACAGGTCAACTGCATCACTGCTTTCAACTACTCCACTTGGTACTTCACCAGAGTTGGTTTCTATCAGTCCTTTTATTCTTTTCCTTTTTTGCTTCTTCTAGCTCTCGAGGAAACTTCAACTGGACAAGAAAGTGAAACCGATACAACTGGCAAGGAAGGAGATTAAAGCAAAAGACAATGTAAAGTGTCAGGTGGCTGGATGGGGTATCACAGAAACCAATGACAAAGCTGTTGATGTGCTGAGATGGGTAGATGTGCCTCTTATTGACCTTAATGTCTGTAAGAAACAATGGACATTCGAGGAAGTTACTCTTCCAAAAGGTGTTATCTGTGCAGGAGGAATTAAGTCAGAGAATGGATTCTGCCAGGTATGTCCTCTGTTCTTTTGGAGAAAGTATAATTTAACTTTTAGTCTTAAATAGAAGATAAATAAAACAAGTGTCTTCCTCCTTACAGGGTGATTCTGGTGGCCCTCTGGTGTGCAATGGAACAGCGGTCGGTGTTGCGTCTTTCAACATGAAAAAAAACTGTATTTACCCAAACCGACCCAACGTCTATACAGATATATCAAAGCACCTTTCCTGGATCAAAAACATTCTGAAAAAAAAGCAATGCTAAGTATATACTGTAACAATGTGCAATCTGCAATATCTGGCATTATAATACTGTATGTGAACTGCAGGATAAATGTAAAATAGCTTCAGATATCTCTCCTGTATTGCAAAGATATTCCTGCTTGCTCTTAAATTAGAAATAAAAAATAATGACGCTACTTTCAAATCATGTCTCATTTTTTCAGTTAGTTTGGTTTCACTGATGTTTTTTAGCGATAAAAAAACCAAACTTGTTTTTGTAGCACATTCATATCTGATGTTTGGTTTGCACAGAAATTTCCTGTGAGCCGGTGCTGCAGTGGTTAACATTGTCATGTCACCGTGAGAATCTTCTGGGGCTTTTCTGTTCTCAGTTTTATTTCACCTACTTTTAATTTTAAGACATGCACGTCGAGTAATTTGTGACTGTAAACTGGCAACTCTCATGTGGCTTGTGGTCTCCCTGTTTTACCTCTGTGAGAGTCTTTTCTTTGGTTACCAGTGCATCATTCAGTTCAGTTCAATTAAATTTTATTCATACAGCACCAAATTACAACAACAGTTGCCTCAAGATCATTTATATTGTAAGTTACAGACCCTACACCATGTTTTGATGCACTGGCAGCCTGTTGAGGGTGTACCCTGCCTCTCACACAATATTATGTGAGAAATGCTCCAGGCTGCTGAGACCCTGCTTGCATACACAGTAAAGAAAATGGATGGATGGACTGGGCATGTTAGACCATAAGTCTCTTTTTCATGTGTGGTGGACAGAAAATGACAAATGCCTGTTAAATCCTTGGCCATTTAATGTTTTAAATTAAGAAAAAAAATAGTAAAGCATTTGTTTCAGTGTGACTGTGAGAACACTGGAAACTGTGGTTCCTGTGGTTTAACTATAGCCAGAGAGAGATCCAAAAAAGAAAATAAACAGTTCTTTTTAAAAAGCTTTGATCAAAAATAGTTTAGTTTTATATTTTCAATTTCAAATCTGATATAGTATTTGTCAAAAATGAGCGATACCACAAAATCCATCAGATGTGACAAATGTAACTCCGGGTTACAGCAGTGAGAGCCTCGTGTTGGTGCAGAGCAGCACTAATACATGGTGGTTTTTTTTGTTTGTTTTTTTTAATAATAGAGAGACACCTGTATAAATTAGCTTTAAATTTGATTTCAAATGAGTTCAGAATAGCATGCTGATGAATCAAAGGTGGGACCAGAAAACTGTCACAGTGATCTAATGTGCGTCTAACCTGTGTAGTCTAGTTTTAACTTTTAGAGCTCTGCATGGAGAAAAAGCAGCTTACATCAGAGAAACTTCACATCCATCTGACCACAGCAGGTCCCCAAGGTCATGTGATCAGGGCCTGCCGGCTGAAAACTAAAGGATACAGAGACTCTGGAAGTCTCTGACTCTGCGCCTGAGATCTGTGAAATTGGTGGTCTCTTTCAAAAAGCAGCTAAAAACGCCTCTTTTAAAACTTGCTTTTAGTAATTATTTGTTTGAACGATTTTGATAAGGATTTTGAAAGGGACTCAGGCGCAGGCCAGGTTTTTCTGTTATGCGAAAGACAGTGCGTTTATTTACAGTGAACACAATCACCAAGTAGCCATATACAATGTGCAGGGGAAAGGGGTCCAGGTCGCCAGGGTCCGTGGGGAAACAGGGTTAGGGGAAAAGGTGCTCCACACTCTCTGTACAAAAGCTCCAAGTCCTCCTCCTCTGCCACTCCTCTCGTAATCAGGTTCCATAAACGATCTACACACAAAAGGTCAGGTTAGTGAAATCATCACAAAAGCTTTAAAGATTCAGGTTTACAGATGCACAAGTTGACTGATAGCTCAACGATCCAGCGAAGACTGGCGCAGATCCGCCATCTTAAGCAGTACCGATCGCACTGGGCGATCCGCAGTAACTCGCTAATGGAGATTTTCCGCGTTAATGTGGTTATGGCGTTAACGTAATTTAACGAGATTAACACTGCCAGCACTAGTTTGAATGTTTTAACATTTTGGTTGTGAAGCATTTGTGATATTTATCTTGATAGGTGCGACCTAAATAAAAATTTTACTTTGAATGTCTCACCCACCTAGTTTATCACCTACGTCTGTTCTAATTTATCTGTGCCACAGTGCATCCACAGTGGTTGTGGGGGTTAAAGCAAAAGTTTATTCACACCGACTTAAAAGAAACAGCTTACATTTAACAGTTCTACTAGACAGACAGCAATTAGCAGTGCAATAGATAACAGCAGTCAAGTCATCCATCTCTTTTCTTTCTTTTCTTTTTTCTTTTAATTTTCTCCTATACAGAATTTATGAAGCACTAGTAATAAGAATGTATCTGTTATCTTTATGACCAGTTTTATTACAAACTTGAAAGAGCTGATCACAAAGCTGATGATTTATCAGTATAAAACACTCATCAACTTGAGGCTGTATGTGTAAATGTGTCTGTGAGAATCTTCATCTTCTTCTTTGTTAAGAAGCTAATATGAGTAAAAATCACAGATTACAAGTTAAAGACAAAGTTACTGCATTGCACCCTACAATTTTCTAAAATATTTGGTAACTATGACCAATTTGACTTTCACCTAACATTCATTTGATTTATCTAAATATTATCTATCAGCAAAGAAAAGTAGATATTACTATCTACATATAGACTAAAGAAATGTACTAGAGAATGTGGTCACAGACCCTAGCACAGAAAGATAGACAAACCAGGAAGAGATTAAGAGTCAAGCAAATAACAATATGTCTAGGATGTGGTGATCTGGTGATAAGGCTGACGGATGTTGCTGCTTGTGGTCTACGAACGATGACTAAATTTAACAGGAAAACAATCTGACATCGCTTCTGAAAATTAGCGAAAGTCTGAAATTCAAGCCACAGTAAGTTAACATTACG